TTAAAAGGGAACCAGGTTTGCTGATCTCAGCCAATCTGGGTTTCCAATCCTGCCAAGTTCAGTACACCATGCCTATTTCTGTAGCAGACTTCAAAATAAGAATGAGACATGTGCCATGGCTTAATGTCACTGTCCTAAGAAAAAGTACATGTGCTAGACTTTAAATATATCAGCTTTGAAACTGCCACCTAAGGATTGTTTCTATGGTACCAGCCTATTTAAAGTTGTAACTGAGGCAGTTTCCCAGGGGATGCAGACGCCACAGGAGGATCGATCTGGGGCACGGGCAGTGGGGGGACCATGGAAGCTCTCTTTGAAGGCTGAAAAGGAGGTGATGTCTGCAGAGGTCCTTGACTATATGGAAGTCCCTGTCTCACCTCAGAGAAGAAAGTGGTGACTTTGAAACCCACGTGCCTGCACTCCCGGGGGTGGGGCCTGGTTCTGCTCTGCAGTTTGCTTCAATCTGCGGGCACCTGCCTTCTCTATATTCTCTTCTCTGGAAGGGTTGGGATGGGCCACGGGGTGTCAGAGGGCCCGCCACATCTCTGAGGAGGAGCCGTGTTACTTAGAAACCCTTCCTTACACGTCTTAGTATCTCACTGGGAAGCTAGACATGGGCCTAGATGTCCCTAAGTCCCAAGGCTGGGTCTTTATCTGAGAAGTGACAGGAGGTAGGGATAGATATGAGCCCCCTGAATCTAGGCCTCTGGATATTTTTTGTCCTTGCTTTCCCAAAGGTTGAACATTTGAACTAAGAATTGTTTTATTTCTTAAGACAGGGTTTCTCTGTGTAGCCCTGGCTGTTCTGGAACTCACTCTGTAGACCAGGTTGGCCTTGAACTCAGAGATCTGCCTGCCTCTGCCTCCGAGTGCTGGGATTAAAGGAGTTCGCCACCACCAACCTTTGAGGCTTGGAGGTTTCCCTGTAGTTAGGTCATTGGCCTAGATTCCAGGGGCTATATTCATCTGTCTCCTGTCACTTCTCGGAAAAACCCTAGCCTTGGGACTTGGGGACGCCCAGGCTCACATCTGTGAAACAGGTCCCCACCTCTCCCATGTGGGCCCCAAGGGTTTGGTGCCGGGCCCTGAACCCTTCTCAGAGGGTCCATCGTGCCTGTCTGCCCGTCCATGGTGTCGACAGCTTTTCTAACGAACTCCTCCTCACTCCCCAGCGATCTGTTTCAGGGCCACTCTTGCCTTCTACCCATTTCATTATATTGCTTGGGTGTAGCTCCTAGGCACTCGGCGCATTTTAACAGGACTAGTGGATGGATTTACTTATCAGTCAGCTTGAAATGTCATCAGGGGAAAGTCTGGATGGATTGTCCAGCTATGACTGGCCTGTGGGGGTGTCTATTCGGGATGGTCTTGGTAGTTACTAGGTGGGGGAGGACCCAGCCCACTGAGGGCAGCACCAGGGTCGATGGGTGGTCCTGGGCTGTCTAACAAAGCCAGCTGAGGACGAGCCTGGGGACGAGACAAGAGGACCACCCAGCTAGCAACATTGCTCTATGGTTCCTGCCCTGATTTCTCTCAATGGTGAACTTGTTACATAAAAGAACAGATTCTATCTCTAGGTTGGTGTTTGTCACCATTTCTAACCCTTTCACACAGTCCCTTGTGTTGTGGTGACCACAATCATAAAATTATTTCCTTCATTTGGTTTCTCGAGATAGGGCTTCTCTGTTTAACAGTCCTGGACCTCGATTTGTAGCCCAGGCTGGCTTCAAACTCAACAGAGATCCGCAGGCCTCTGCCTCCCAAGTGCTGGGATTAAAGGCTGGCGTGTACCACCACTGCCAGCCTAAGATTATTTTCATTGTTCCTGCATAACTGTAATTTTGCTACGGCTATGAATCATAATGTAAATATTTTCGGAAAGACAGAGGTTTGCCAAAGGGGTTGTGACCCAGAGGTTGGAGAACTGTGACTCTACATGGATTGGTGATTTTGTCTCCCCTATTTAAGGGTTAATCCAGTGGGGCAGGCTCATCTTAAAATCATGTAAATTCCCACCCAGGTTCAGTTGGGTCTTTCTGAGTTCTGACTCAGAAAAACTTTCTTTTTTCTTCTTTTTCTTTCATTTTCCAAGACAAGACCACACTACTTAGCCCTGGAACTTGCTACATAGGCCAAGTCTCACTGAGATCCAATCTCCTGTGCTTACCCAGAGTGCTGGGATTAAAGGTGTGTGCAATCATGCCTGGCATATTTCTTCCTTTCTTCCTTCCTTCCTTTCTTTCTTTCTTTTCTTTCTTTCTCTCTCTCTCTTTCTTTCTCGTTTGAATTCTGGTCAGAGCCTAAGTGTGGTAAGGTTTTTGTTTTGTTTTATCAAAGATGGCTATCTTGCCTAAGGACCAGTATTCCATACCCGCCATGGGTTTGTGAAACTCCTGTAGTATATGTGCAAGCTCCCGATGCCAGACATTTCTGAGACTTGACTATATCATAAGCTTTTCCTTTCAGAGGATTATGAAGTAGCCAATCAAGTCAAATTGAGGTTGAGCTCCTAGCAAGGGGGGTGAGACCCAGACACACCTTTGTCAGAATACAAGTAAACTTGTACTCTGGTTGTGCCTGCCTGTTACTTTCACTTTGTTAAATGCAGGGATATTCCTCCCCAAACGTCAGCACACTTTTAATTTCCATGCTCTGGGATTCCTTGATCATTCTCTGAAGGGCCCCTCCCTGCCACGTGATTGATCTTTTTGCTGGTTTATCTTATGACACAGCTTCCCCCTGCTCCCCCAGGCAGTTTCTAGATCTCTAGCAACTCGAAGCAGAAGCCACAGAGGAACACTGCTTATTGGCTCTCTCCCCAAACTCACCCAGGACCACCAGAGCATGGTGGCACCACTCAGAATGGGCGGGGCTCTCGCACATCGATCCTTAACCAGGTTAATGATCCCACAGACTTGCCTACAGGCCACCTCAGATAACTCTTGTGTGTGTCCAGCTGACAGGAAAAACCAAAAATAAAACCAACCAGCCAAACGAAAAAACCAAAAACCCCACCAGGATGTGGCCTTTTAACTATGAGAGAAAATTTAACCTGTTCTTTAACCCGAGATGGCATCAGACCATAACCTGGCAAAGTGCAAGATGAAACAGGTTCCTTGCTTGGCCGCGGTGGCGCACGCCTTTAATCCCAGCACTCGGGAGGCAGAGCAGGCGGATCTCTGTGAGTTCCAGGACAGCCAGGACTACACAGTGAAACCCGTCCTGAAAAACCAAACCCAAACTAAACCAATCAAGCAAAAGCCCCGCCCCTCTTCGCCTTAGTTATTTATCCCAGCAACAGAGAAGTAACTGGGGCGGAGAGGGAAAAAAGTCAAAGCCGCTCCCTGGAGAGAACGCTCGGGCGCTCCTGCCCTCTCTTCCCTGGAGTGTGTGGGCCCAGGCCGGCTTTGCTGACTTCGCGCCACTGCTCCCGGAGAAATCAGGGACGGGACCGGCAAAGGGAAACGGGTTTGTGTTACAGGCTGCCCGGAACCTTTTCCTGTCCACAGCAGAGAGGGAAAAAAGCCCGGAAGCGCGCGTGCTGATCGGATCGGGTCCGGGAACCCCTCGCCTCCGCTCCCGGGGACGCCGTCATTACTCAGGATGCCCGCCCGCGACAGGCATAGGCTTCCCCGGACCCGTCCCCTCGCCGCCCTGGACACCTGACTGACAACGGCGGGACCCAGGTCCCGTGAGAACCGGAAGCGGCGCGGGCGGGAACGCTAGTTCTTCCGGTACGCACCCGTCGCCGCTGGGTGACGTCGTTCCTGCGCGCCGGGATGGCTGCATCCGGGTTCCGGCTGTCGGGCTGCTCGCAGGCTCTCGGAGGCTGGGGAAAGCCGTGAGCACCGACCGCGATCGCGGGGCGAGGTGAGCGGCGGGGCCGGGGCGGCGTCCCGGGAGCGCGGGCTGAGCCTCCGCGGCCCGGGTTCGCAGCCGGGGCCCGGCCGGGGCGGGATGGGGCCCGGGCCGCCAGCGCCCCGCTGCTGACACTGAATAGCCAGCCCCGCGCGCTCGTGTTGCGAGCGAGCGCTCCTGGACGCTGTGGGGTTTGCTTTTATTTTTATTTTTTTTAGCAGCTCCGTGCTGGGGCCGCGACGGTGGTGTCGTCTGTCATCCCGGGGGGGGGGGGGTCCAGGGCTCCCTGCCGCCTTTGAGAGCTTTGCACTCGTAGCTGAGGTTGGAGGTTAACCGGTGCGCAGTGAGGAGGAGCAGGGAGACGTCTGTTAACTAACGGCTAAGCGGTCCCACGCTGCTAGAGGAATCTCGCTGTACGTACGGAAGACCGCTGCCCAGTCGGTGGCGTCGGGCACTGAGGACGTTAGTGTGCTGTGTACCGCGCTGGGGTTTTTGTGCGTGATAACCACGCACAGGGGCGCTGGTCGAGGTGGGCTTTGAACTCAGGATGTGGTTTAAGTGTTCCTGATTTTCGCAGTCCTCCCTCCCTTCCTCCATAGGGCTTCTCTGTGTATCCTTGGCCGTTCGTTCCTGAACTGGCTCTGTAGATCAGGCTGGCTTCGAACTCACAGAGATCCTCCCGAGTGCTGAGATTAAAGGCGTGTGCGTCCTGCCTGGCGGGGATGCTGCTTTTAAAGCACCTACTGGGCGCTCTGCTTTTGTTATTTTGTTTGTTTTGAGACCTGGTCTCACTGTGTGGCGTTGGCTGGCCTGGTACTCAATATGTAGATCTAGGCGGCTTTGAATTTACAGAGATAGACCTCTGTCTCTGCCTCCCGAGTTGGGGGATGGTGTGGGGTTGGGAGAGTTGGGGGTACTTGTGGCGGGGAGGTGTCTTTTCTAAAGTGCTACCGTAATCAGCCCTTACAAGCTCCTTCTAAACACAGACCGTAGCCACTGATACAGTTATGGGGATGGCTGAACAGATTCCCGGGGTACAACGTTTTGTTTATCTCCCATGCTCCAGGTGCTACTGTGAGGTGTCCTTCATAAAGACTGCAGCCTTCCAGTGCCTCAGAAGCCGCTCAGGTTTGGAAGGAAAAACCAGAGTGTTAAACACTGGTTATTAAGTCTCATGAAACGGTATTTCAGAAGACGTTCCGAAGCTTCCCTGGGACTCCCAGTTGGCTTGCTTTAACTCTGTCCTGGAGAACCGAAGAGGCTGAGCTGCCCACCCAGTTTCTGAGGTAATGACAGACACAGAGCTGTTACTTCCTTCCTGTGGCACTTGTGTTTAGGCGGCGTGGGTTTAGACCTGTGTGGACTGCTGGGTGGGACTGACTTGTTTCACCCGCCGCCGCAGAGCTTTGTCCTGTGTTTAATGGCTGCTTTAGTGTGTGTTCGTATGAGGCTAGTGTGATGGGCTTTGCTTTGGAGGAAACAGGAGTAGAGATGCCTGGGGACCTTCTGCTGGCCCCAGGTTTGCACAGTGCTTTTCTTGTCCCCTTCTAGTGACCAGTCATGTCGCTGTCCCACCTGTACCGGGATGGGGAAAGTCGCCTGGACGATGATGATGACGAGCGTGAGAACTTTGAGATCACCGACTGGGATCTCCAGAATGAGTTCAACCCCAACCGGCAGCGTCATTGGCAGACGAAGGAGGAAGCCACTTACGGGGTGTGGGCTGAGCGAGACTCAGACGAGGAGAGGCCCAGCTTTGGAGGCAAACGGTACTGTGTGCTGGGCTGCATGTCCTGACTCCAGAGGATCGGGGAGGCACCCCGGAAGAGTGTGCTGGCCTTATTTAGCCCTGTAGCTACAGCATCTTGCTGTGGGTTGTTGAGCTGGGGTGGCAGGCTCCTCCTCAGCAATTGCTCTGTGATGGGAGTACAGCTACATATGGATAGAGCAGGGCTAATCAGCCACAGGCGTGGTAGCATTGGGACCATGCCCTGGTCAAGGAGCATTCTCACAGGTCCTAAAGGACAGGGAGGGTAGGGACGGTTACCCTGGAGAATACCTTTGGCTGAAACGAAGGTAGAAGGTGATTAGGGTCCTTGAGAAGTGTGATAGTGCAGCCTGGGCTACACAGTAAGACACTGTCTCACAAGAGAAGAAACAGCGTGTGTCCCCACACTTGACTACACTCAGAAGTGTTTATTAATTTTACACAGGATTCCCCTGAGACAGGAATCCTTTGTGTGTCCCTGGCTGCCCTGGAACTCACTCTGTAGTCCAGACTGGCCTTGAACTCGCAGTTCTCTGTGAGTCACAGAGATCTGCCTGCGTCAACCTCCCCAGTGGCAGTGAGTAAAGGCATGGGCCGCCACCACTACCACCACCTGGCTAGGATTTTTATCTATCTGAATTTTTCTGCTCCTGTTTGATTTTTAAACTTGAAATGGTATCTAAAACAAATGGTGTATGTGTGTATGTGTGTGCGTGTGTAAGTAATTGGACCTAGGGCCACGTGCATGCTAGGAAAACTAAACTGTAAAACTAAAAACAGTCTTTCCAGTTGTAAAGGGGGCCCAGTGGGATGGCTCAGCCAGTAAAGCTTCTTGCCACTGCCACCAGATCCTACATAAGAGGAGAAAAGGAAGAACACGCCACAGAGTTGCCCTCTGACCTTCACCTGCTTTGAAGGCCCGTGGGCCCCCATCACACACACAGTGATAATAACATGTTTAAAAGTGTCAAAGGGAAGTAAGGTCATTACATCACATTTTGAGTTTATAATGAACTTTATTGACAATGATAAATCTTCAGCTACAGATTCGAATTGAAAAGACCCTGCAAATGTTAAATGTGGGTTGGAAGATGAGTCAGCAGTTAAGATCAAATGCTGTTTTGCAGACCTGAGTTTGGCTTGTGGCTTGTGAGCACACAGTTGCCTATAATTCCAGCTTCAGGGGATCTGTGCCTTTGGCTCCTTGGACATCCACACAGTCATGTGCTCGACCACACACAGACATAAAAAAAATGTTTAACATGCCAAACATAAGATTATTGGAGGCCAGTTCTGAGTCCTTTTTGGCATTTGGGCATAATAAACACATGGTTTAAAGTGGATCCCGTGAGGGCCCCTCTCTCTAAGGAGTTCTCTTGTGAGCAGTTTCTAGGACAGGATGCTACAGAAGTGTTTTCTATTCTTAGGGGATTTGTGTCTGTCTGCAGGGCCCGAGACTATTCTGCACCTGTCAACTTCATCAGCGCGGGGCTCAAGAAGGGGGCAGCTGAGGAAGCGGACTCTGATGACTCTGATGATGACGAGAAGCCTGCAAAGCAGGAGGACTTTCCAAAGGACTTAGGACCAAAGAAGTTAAAAACGGTAGGTCCTACAGCATAATCTCCAAGTGGCCCCAGTCAGGGGCCACCAGTGCAGCAGCTTCTCTGCCAGGGAGAAGCCCAGCAGGCACCTGTGTGTGCGCGCGCGTGCGCGTGTGTGCGCGCGCGTGCGCGTGTGTGCGCGCGTGCGCGTGCGTCCCTGATGTGATTTTGGTGCACACACAGTGTTTCATAGCGCACTGGCTGCGGGCTGCTCTCCTGTTGGCATTCTCCCTTGTATTGTTCTGTGTTTCATTCTTGCCCACGCCCCTCTGACTTTCTTTGCAGGGTGGTAATTTTAAGCCCAGCCAGAAAGGCTTTGCTGGAGGAACCAAGTCATTCATGGACTTTGGCAGCTGGGAGAGACACACGAAGGGGATCGGGCAGAAGCTCCTGCAGAAGATGGGCTATGTCCCTGGACGGGGCCTGGGGAAGAATGCTCAGGGTGAGTGAGGCTGTGGCCCAAGAGGAGTGTGGTGGAGGGGAGGCTTTATCTTCCTCTTCTCTTTAGGAAGCCCATCCAGTATGGGGTGATCTCAGCAGATAAAGTCCTGGGAAGGATGCTTAATCTCAAAACCAAACAAAACAGCTGCTAACTCTGCTGCTGAGTTTGGCAGCATGGTCCTCTTCTGCTCCCCAGCTGCCCAGCTTTCCCAGAACCCAGCTTCAGTAAAGCGCTCGCTTGCTTAAGTGGGAAGGTCTAGGGTGGCTGCAAATAATGGATGATATTTTAAAGTCAGACAATTTCACCAAGAACTCTAGATGTGGCCTGGCAGGAGTTTGGCAGCTTCACAGCTGCCTTGGGGCTGTGTGAGGTCTTAGAAAGCAGTGTCCTCGGCGGCCTGTGGCCCGCCAAGTGATCGTGTGTGTGAGCCTGCCTGGGCTCTGAAGGCTCAGCTCTATAGTCCCTGCTTCTGTGGCTTTTGTTGTCTGTCAGCGTCTGAGCATCAGGTAGGTCAGCACGCAGTATGGCAGCCTTCACCAATTGAAGATGTGCCTACTGCTGGCCGACCAGGCCATGTTTCCCACACCAGCCCCGCTAAGAAACAGCCCCTGGCACACGCAGCTGAGAGCCAGGAGGAGCAAGAACTTGGCCTTCTCCAGCAGAATTGGGTCCAGGCTAATTCACACCCAGTCATCTCAGGAAGTGCCGAGCCTGTACTGGGAAGAGAGTGGCAGAGCATCGGTCATGTCACTCCTCAAGTCCCAGGGGCCGTGGCACCGTCCTGAGCAGTGGTGTGCTGTGGGGTGAGGAGCGGGAAGTGTCCTCAATGGTGTCCTCACATAGGTTCCTGAGATCTGAAGTCTTTCTTCCACCTGTCCTTGCTCAGGAATCATCAACCCCATTGAGGCCAAGCAGAGAAAAGGCAAAGGAGCTGTGGGGGCCTACGGCTCGGAGCGGACCACTCAGTCTCTGCAGGACTTCCCCGTGGCCGACTCGGAAGAGGAGGCTGAAGAGGTAACGAGAGGCAGCCATGTGGGTGGCTCGTGGCGTGGGCCCTTCCAGACAGCTGTTACTCATGGGTTGTGCATCCTGGTGGCTTTTGGGTGTCACCACACACCTGCTTATGTGGCAGGCCCTGCTAGGGGCTCGGTGTGCAGCCAATGGCATCATGCTGTCACAGGCTCACATGTGTCTCAGGCGGGAAGCTGTGAGACAGTGACAGGCTGGGACCTGAGGCACACTTCTATATGGTGGTCTAACTGCAGCTCAGAGACAGTCCTGCATGGGCTGGGTGCCATGATTCCTGAACAGCTGCAACTCCAGACACTTGAAAGAATGACAGATTAGGGCAGGGTGAGGAATAAAACGGCTCTCACAGCACTGACTTGTAGGGTGGGCGTGTCCTCGCGCATGCTACGCTCTGCCCACCATTTTCTGTGGAGGTCAGCCAGGTTGGGTGGGGGGTAGTGCTGTCTAAGTTCTGCCTGAGTCAGTGAGGACGGGCAGAGCTTCACCCTTCCCTCGGGGCCCCTGCCTTGGCATCTCAAACCCTGTAGTGTAGGGGCTGTGTTGGTGTTGGTGGCTGTGGCTTGCTAAGGGCCTTGTCCTGGCTGCTGGCTGCGGAGGAGGCCCCTCCTGCTGATGTTCTCTTCCTCCCTCTGCCCCAGGAGTTTCAGAAGGAGCTGAGCCAGTGGAGAAAAGACCCCAGCGGGAGCAAGAAGAAGCCCAAGTACTCCTACAAGACTGTGGAGGAGCTGAAGGCCAAGGGCAGGGTCAGCAAGAAGCTCACAGCGCCTCAGAAGGAGCTGTCCCAGGTCAAGGTATGAGGGTATCACATCAGTCACTGCCCGTCCTCTGAGGCCTTTGTCTGACAACCGGGGTGTGCGTGCGGGCCTGCGTGCGTGCGTGCGTGCGGGCCTGCGTGCGTGCGGGCCTGCGTGCGTGCGGGCCTGCGTGCGTGCGTGCGTGCGTGCGGGCCTGCGTGCGTGCGGGCCTGCGTGCGTGCGGGCCTGCGTGCGTGCGGGCCTGCGTGCGTGCGGGCCTGCGTGCGTGCGGGCCTGCGTGCGTGCGGGCCTGCGTCCTTCCCTTCCTCCTTCCCTCTCTTCTAAGACAGAATCTTGCCATATGGCCCAGGCTGGCCTCTGCTCAGCCTGCAGCTTTGCTTTGTTTTGGGTTCTCTGCAGATACATTTGTAGGTGAACTGTACTCTGTTTGAGGCTCGGGAGAGGGCTCCTGGAAGCAGGAGCAGGTCGGGAAGGGGCTGACTGGCTGGGAGCCAAGAGAAAGACCTCTCCTTTGAGGACTTCTGACTTGGGGTTCTGACGTGGCCACGGGTGTCAGTCAGGCTGGTTGTCATGGTCTTGGATGAAGTGAGAGGGCGGGGGTCTGGGGACAGGCCTCCCTCTCTGTGATGAACTCATGGTGCTGCTGTCCACTCTACAACAGCTAGATAGTGCTGGTGGCAGCTGCCTGTCATGGTTCAGCCTGGGTAGTGTGAGTGTGATAGCTCAAGCCTGTGGTAGGCAGCTCTGCCCACTAGCAAGGCTCTTGCCACTTGGCCAGCGTCCTGTCTCCCCTGCTCAGTGGCGCCTAACAGGTGGCAACCTGCCACTCTTTCCAAGGTGATCGACATGACAGGCCGGGAACAGAAGGTGTACTACAGTTACAGCCAGATCAGCCACAAGCACAGCGCGCCGGATGGAGGGCTGCCTTTACTGGCGCAGCTGCCTGCCACAGCCGGCAAGGAAGCCAAGGTGCCCGGCTTTGCGCTGCCCGAGCTCGAGCACAACCTGCAGCTGCTCATTGAGCACACGGAGCAGGAGATCATCCAGAGCGACCGCCAGCTGCAGTATGAACGGGACATGGTGGTCAGCCTGTCCCACGAGCTTGAGAAGACCGCCGAGGTCCTAGCACACGAGGAGCGTGTCATCTCCAACCTCAGCAAGGTTCTGGCCCTGGTGGAGGAGTGTGAGCGCCGCATGCAGCCTCATGGCAGCGACCCCCTCACGCTGGATGAGTGCGCACGCATCTTTGAGACACTGCAGGATAAGTACTATGAGGAGTACCGCCTGGCAGACCGTGCAGACCTGGCTGTGGCCATCGTCTACCCGCTTGTGAAGGACTACTTCAAGGATTGGCACCCCCTTGAGGTGAGCTGGGGTGCATGCAGCCTGCAGCTTGGTCAGGAGCATGGCTGCCGAGGTAGGAAGGCTGATGATGTCAGTGTTCTGCAGGATGGCAGCTATGGCACCCAGATCATCTCCAAGTGGAAAAGCCTCCTGGAGAACGACCAACTTCTGTCTCACAGCAGCCAGGACCTGTCCTCGGACGCCTTCCACAGGTGCCAGGCCCCACCCACTGTGTTGTCGGTCGTGTGGTTCCCCCCCCCCTTCCCATCCCGTCCCCCCCTCCTGGGGCTAAGGGCTGGATGGCAGCCATTTCTGCTGCTATTTGACTGCTCCACACTGTCGCTGCTCTGGGGGTGGAAGGCAAGCTTGCTCACGTGTCAGTTGCGTGTCCTGAGTGCAGGGAGCTGGGTTGTCCCTGGGAGGGCCACATGTACCTTTCTCCTACAGTCTGGAAGGGCAGGCAGACAAGTGACAGGCGCACAGGGTGATTGATAGTGAGAACCAAGAAGGAGGCAGTTGTGGAGAGGGTAGCGGCGTCTCAGGAGGGGACACTCGGGCTGTGACCCTGAGTGTGGGAAAACACCTCACACCATGAGCCCACATGGGCTGTAGCATCTCTGCCAGTGCATGGCATCACCGTCCTCAGCCCCGACCTAAGATGCCATGGGAGCCCCTGTGGGGACTGGCCTGAAGTTTCCTGTGGCAGTCTGTGGGGTGGCACACTTTGAAGCCACCACTGCGGCTGACCAGCTGCCCTTTCCTCCCTCAGACTCATGTGGGAGGTCTGGATGCCTTTTGTCCGGAATGTTGTCGCCCAGTGGCAGCCCAGGAACTGTGACCCGATGGTGGACTTCCTGGACAGCTGGGCACACATCATCCCTGTGTGGATCATGGACAATATCCTGGACCAGCTCATCTTCCCCAAGCTGCAGAAGGAGGTAGGGCAGAGCTCTGACACAATGTATCTATCTGCTCACCTAAGCCACCAGAGCTGGGACAGGAGACCTTGTTAATGTCCTGTTAGTTTAGCCTTTTCCAGAGTATCCCGTCCTACCTCCCTGGAGAGGGAGTTCATTCATTCCCTCAGTACCTTTAGTGAACCTTGAGCCAGGCTGAGGTTGGAGTTGGCGGCACAAGTGTTTTTGCTTTTCCTCTGTGGAGGGACCTAGAGTACAAAATGCCTGTGAGGCGGTGCCTGCCATTTGCCTCGACGGTGGGTCCCCCCCTCCACATCCTCACTGAGCACTGTGGCCCGTGGTCAGGACACACACGCCTCTTCCCTAGGGACAGCAGTAGTGTGTCATGGACTGTCTGTCTGTCCATGGGCTGCAGTACTCATCCTCAGTTCACCCTGCAGGTGGACAACTGGAACCCCTTGACGGACACCGTTCCCATCCACTCGTGGATCCACCCGTGGCTGCCCCTCATGCAGGCCCGCCTGGAGCCGCTATACTCCCCTGTCCGCAGCAAGCTGTCCAGCGCGCTACAGAAGTGGCACCCCAGCGATGCCTCAGCCAAGCTCATCCTGCAGCCCTGGAAAGACGTCCTCACCCCTGGGTCCTGGGAGGCCTTCATGCTCAGGAACATCGTGCCCAAGCTGGGTAAGGAGACCGGGCTGTGTGGGCCACATGGGCCACACGTGGTTTACTCTGTTCCACCACAAAAGGCGTGCTGCTTAGGCCAGGGGAGGGAGAGGAGTGGAGGTAGGGCCTTCCTGCTGTCTCTTCGCCGCCGTGACCAAGGTCTGCAGTGGTGACTCTGGGCTCTCTGTGCCTTGTGTTTTCCCTGATGGGGTTGGTTTGGCCATCAGGTTCAGAAAGCTACTGGCCTGAAAAAGCTTGCGAGTCACGGGGTGGAAGGAAGGAGCAGCCCGGGCAGGGAAGGGTCTGCTGGACACCACTTTGTGCTTCCATGGCTTTGCCAATGAAGAAGCTGAGCGTGAACCATCTTCCTTGCAGGCATGTGCCTGGGTGAGCTCGTCATCAACCCCCACCAGCAGCATATGGACGCCTTCTACTGGGTGATGGACTGGGAAGGGATGATCTCTGTCTCCAGCCTGGTGGGGCTGCTGGAGAAGCATTTCTTCCCCAAGTGGCTTCAGGTGCGCTGTGTTGCCTGGGTGGGTAGGGTGGGCAGTGAGAGCCCCGGGGTCTTCAGGGCCCATTGCTGTCTAGGCGTGGTTTCGCCTCGCCTCAGCTCCACAGAACCTGTCTGGAGATTCGGGTCCAGCACACTAGGCTACAGGCTGGCTCTAGATGCTAGTAACTGCTGGGTGCCGCAGCTCGTGAGCCCTGTGGTGTGGGCTGCGGGGACGAGCACAGCAGCAGACAGCAGGTGGCCCTGGGGACCTCTGCTCCCGCCGCTGTGGTCCAGGCCACCGGCTCATTGTCTGTGCCCTTTGGCAGGTGCTGTGCTCCTGGCTCAGTAACAGCCCCAATTACGAGGAGATCACCAAGTGGTACCTGGGCTGGAAATCCATGTTCTCAGACCAGGTGCTGGCACACCCCTCTGTGAAGGACAAGTTCAACGAAGCCCTTGACATAATGAACAGGGCCGTGTCCTCCAACGTGGGTGAGTAGGGTCCCTGTCGGGGGTGGGATGTGGCCTGGCCTTGACTCATTGCTTTTGGCTCTTCTGTGAGGCTACCCTAAGCACGTGTCCAGTGGACTGAGCTACTTACAGCCCCACCCTGTTGTCCTGTGATAGAGGCTGACTCCAGGCAGACTTCCCATACTGCTCTGCATAGGCAGCCGCTCCCCTTTCTGAGCAATGCTCTGTGCCTACTTCGCGGGGTCTAAGATGGCTGAGCTTAAGTCTGTGGCACTTGGCAGCGGGGCCCTTGTGTGTCATTGCTTGCTGTCGGGGCCCAGGGTTGCTCTTACATTGTTAACATGGCTCACTTAGTACACTGAGTGCAGTGCCAGGGGAGGCCAGAAGAGGGCCTCAGATCCCATGGGTCTGAGTAGGTAGGTGCTGGGAACCAAGCTGCATTCTGTGCAAGCATAATGCATACTCCTGACCAGTGAGCCGTTTCTCCAACAGGGGCCTCTGTGGGCAAGGGGAGATTAGGAGCAGCATAGGCCATGCTCGACTGGGAGGTGATTGGGGGGGGGGGGGCTGCCTCTGGGATCAGCCCTCTGCACCTCATCTGATAGACTGGGAGGTGATTGGGGGGGGGGGGGGCTGCCTCTGGGATCAGCCCTCTGCACCTCATCTGATACTGTCTGGTATTTGGTATCAGCTACAAGTTCCTGGACCAGTTATGCAGTGACCATGTATTAGTTCCTACACTGTCGTCATAATGCATGTTGGGTTCTGTACACTCGGGGTCGCCTCTCCTCACTGTCTTCCTCTCTCTCAGGTGCCTACATGCAGCCAGGCGCTCGAGAGAACATTGCGTACCTCACCCACACGGAGCGCAGGAAGGACTTCCAGTATGAGGCCATGCAGGAGCGCCGTGAGGCCGAGAACATGGCTCAGAGGGGCATCGGTGTGGCTGCCAGCTCCGTGCCCATGAACTTCAAGGACCTCATTGAGACCAAGGCCGAAGAGCACAACATCGTGTTCATGCCTGTCATCGGCAAGCGGCATGAGGGCAAACAGCTCTACACCTTTGGCCGAATCGTCATCTACATCGACCGGGGCGTAGTGTTCGTGCAGGGCGAGAAGACTTGGGTGCCCACCTCCCTGCAGAGCCTCATAGACATGGCCAAGTAGACATCAGGGCCCCACACCAGACCGGCGTGAATAAATGGCACTTTAAACAGACTTTACAAACAGCATCTCTATTTGTGAGACCAGGCCACCCAGGCAGGATGTGACGGGATGCCACCAGCCAGGGCTGTATTCCTGGCCTGGCAATGGAGATGGCGTGGTCTGCAGAGGGACTCCAGGTGCAGCTGGCAGGTGAGCTCAGCCTGTCTGTTTCCTGATGATCTCCAGGTCCTCGCAGTCCTGGTAATCAGGCTCTTCCCGAGACGCCCACAGGTCCCCAGGCAGTCCCTGCAGCTTCAACAGAGGGAACCAGTGGACAGAGGTGTCGTTAAAGGTGTCCGTGTAGCGTGGAGTCTGCGGTAGCGGGAACTCCTCCAGGCTCTTCACAATCTGAGCAGAGGGTACAGACACGGGCATTAGGCACGACCCTGCTCTCCCAGCATACCTCTTTCCCTTCACTGGCCACCCCACTGTCCCCGAAGGCAGTGGGGATGCTGGACTCACCCCGGGCACTGACTGGGGGTGGGGGGGGAGCCCTCACCAGTGCATTATGCTTTGTGTGGTTAGAAGCTATCAGTGGGTAGTGTGGCTTTGTTACCCCCCACTCCTACCCCCCCCCCCACTATTCTGAGGTACCTTTGCAATGTAGGGGTAATTTTTATGCAGAATCTTTGTCAATAACCTGGAAATAAAAATATTTATACACAATCAGGGAGTATATGGATGCTTTTTTTTCCCTCAAATTATGATGGGTAGAAAAACAAGATGAGTTCAGAAGGGGCTGGGGTGTGGAATGAGACTCCCCTCTCCCCAGCAAGCAGCTGTAGGGAAGAGGGTAGCACAGGCAGGCGCTGCAAAAGTAGATTAAGAGTGTGGTCTTCACTTACCCCAGAAGAGGCATCCACTTGAAGGTTCCTTGAGTGCTTTAAGCTGGACTTGGGGTCTGACGCCTGCCTTAACCATTTCACCAGTCCCTCATGAGGAAAGCCCTTCTGCCTACAGGCGGGTGCGGGCTCACAGTGGCTCACCTTTCCTCGATGCACTGCAGACTGTTCCCAATGATGACCACCCTGGAGAGGGCGTCTACAGACCAGTTGCTCCACAGCAGATTGTTGTATAGAGCCGTGCCACAGTGTGGCATGTAGAAGACGGTGGGCTGGCCTTGGATGCTCCGCTTCCCTTCCTGTGGGAGCCACAGCACAGTGGTCAGCAGCTGCGTGCAAAGCCTAACTCTTCTGTGGCATGGCTACATCAGTGATGCAGACGTAAGCTAGATGGCTGCACGGGAAGAAACCTGAGCTCACTTTACTCCATGACGACTGTCCCCATGTCCCACATTCTAGAATCCTCCAGGCACCCTGAGTCACTGCCTCCACAGGAGCCACGTGTGGTCTTGGGCACAGCCCTCGTGGCTCTCCGTGCACAAGCCAACCTGAACCTGGCTGCTGGACTCGGTTCTTACAGGTTACAGGTGCCTCGGGCCTCAATCATTTGCTCTTCTTTGTACAGAGCCAGCCCAGCACGCACACGCTGGTCTGGAGTGCTGTAGGGTCATGGGGCTGAGACCAGCCTGCGCTCGCTCGAGACCCTGCCATCGGAGCCAGGAGGACGACGGTAAAGGTAAAGGTGCTTGCCACCCAACCAACCATGCCAGGCCAACCTGAGTGATTCCCAGAACTCATAAAACCCAGAGAGGATCTACACGGCTCCAGCCCTATGCTTTTGTTATTTGCTTTTAATCTTTTAAAATGTGTTAGAGTTCACATGTCTATGCCCTGTGTGTGTGCCTGGTGCCTGCAGAGGCCAGAAGAGGGCGGCATGTCCCCTGGGACTAGAGTTACAGATGGTTGTGAGCCTCCACAAGGGTGTTAGCAATCTTCCTCTGGAGAGGCAGCCAGTGCTTTTAACAGCTGAGCCACCTCTCCAGCCCTGAACTTAAGGGTTTTGCAAACTTGACACACTAGTTCACAATGCTAATTCAAGTTTTCATGGAGGGGTGTAACAGTCTAAAATGAAACTGACTACCGGGCTTCCACAGGCTCTAGGAAGGGCAGTGTGATGAGGCCTGGTGACACAAGGAGCCTGTTCAGTGGCAGAGGTGGGTGTGGTCTGCAGGAGGCGACGTCACCTACCTCATTCTCACTGAGGACAGTCAAACCGAGGGAAGCGAGCACTGCTACTTCAGCTCTGCTGAACACAGGGTCATAGACCTGGCAGTGGCTTCTGGGGATCTGGACGGGAAGAGGGGCTGCTTCAGTCCCAGGCACGGCATGCCGCCACCACACCCGGCGCAGGAGGACACGACCACACTCACCTGGCACCTCTCCAGGAAGAGAAGCATAAAAGCGAGCTGGCTCCGAGCCGTGACGCTGGTGGCGAAGTTCCCAAGGCCGTAGCACACGCACGTCACAGGGGAAGTGCTCGTGGCCAAGGGCTCCTCCGGCCCAAGTGACGAGCTGAGGGCCAGCCTTCCCAGGGCTTCCGTTAGGCCCTGCAGTTGTCCCAGCTGTTTTCCAAGACACTGGGTGACGGTTTCTGAAAGGTCAAATACAAACACAGTCACTGACCCCTGCCTGGAGCTACCGGGCCTCAACACCCAGAGGGAGGCTGCCCGAGACCTGTGTCCAGGCCGCCAAAGGTGGGACCCTGAACTCTGCTGCCTCAGACCTAAGGTAGTATAAGAAACATTTACATCTAAAACCATGTGACGGAGACGTTTGTGATGATCGTCGGGAAGCCCCTGAAGGGTGTGTAGGGTGCCGATGGCCTCTACAAGGGAACTGAGTGGCTAGGGTCAAAACCACTGTCTCCACCCCCCCCCCCCCCCGGCCCTCCTCTGAGGTTACCGTCATGAACAAAAGAAGCCATCTGTTCCAGCACTAAGCAAGCTGTTCCCGCTTTGCACAGGTTCCCCAGCTGAGGGGAGTCTGAACGTTTCTGGGTAGCAGCCTGATACTGCCTTCCCTTTAACAGTCATGTAACGATGGCCTGCCTTTCACCAAGGGCCATGCCCACACATACTGTGTGAGGGCATAACTGCAAGGGGAAGGTCGGCACTGATGTCAAGGGAAAAGCAGCTAAGTATAAAATTTAGCCAGCCCGATAATGACGGACAGCGTTTATTGCCTTAGGTGTGACAGCCAAGCAGTCACCTTACTTAACCCTCAAAACTGGAGGATTTACAAACTGCAGGGTATATACACCGCCATCTATTTCCAGTTCAGATTTAGTGAGAACCCGTCAAAGCAAGGCCATGAAGAAAAATGCCCTTCCATGAAGAAGTCCTTTGCCCCACCTTCAGGCAGGCCCTCCTTCCCCTCCCACGCCACCCCTCCAAGCGAGAGGATACTCACCCAGTGCTGAACTGCAGAAATCCGAGTTCCGAAGATCCTCCCTGAGAAGAAATGGCGGGGTCATCTCCCTTCTCTTTCGGGCCATCCTAGCCCTGACCATGAGCCAGATAAATGGAGGATGCAGGACCCTCCAATGTAGAGGCTGCCCTTACTGAGTGATGTGCCCATGGCCTGGATGGTGACTGCTGGGATTAACAAAAAAAAAAAAAAAAAAAAAAAAATCCATCCATCCAGAGGTCTTGGTTTCCTAGGGATGGTCTGGGTCTGTCCTGCATCTTTGGCCTGGCAGATGCAGCTCAATAAATACTGGGAAGTCCTTGTTCTGATCTCTCAAGGCTGTGGAATAGCAGGAGGGACTAAATGAGTTACCCAGCAGACACACAAGAAACAGCTTTCCCATTATAGATAACCCTACAGGGAAAGTCAAAGAGAAAGTCCAAGGGCCGGGTCTTTATTCAAGTCAACAGGTTTCCACTGCCTAGGGCAAAGCAATCAACAGTGAATTAAAATATGCCAGAGGCAGTGTCTGGGGGAAACTGCCCAGAGGCCATCTACATTCCTCATAAGGGGAAGGAGACCCTAATACATCCAAGTACTCCCAAAATTCTAGGTAGCTCTGGATCAGATTCTCTATGCTCAGGAGTCAGGAGTGATAACCGCACCCTAGTAGAGGTGCTGGGTGAGACAGGGAGCTCTGGGAGGCTCTGAAGAAGCAGCGTTAACAGCAGCTGTCTGTCGAGTGCCTTCGTCAATCTTCAGAGTCTGTAGAATTCCTACTTTCTTCTATCTGGCCCCTCAGCCACATTGCCAGTAATTTCTACTCAAAGATAACTTCTGCTTTTTGAGTCTAACTTGGCACTCTCTTCTGTCACAGCCATTCTGACCCATCCGGAATGCTACCCAAATCTGTAGCTTAGCCCTAAAAGACCATAAGTAGAAAAGCCAAGAACACGGGATATTCTGTGTATGGTGGGTGCCATCTATGTGCCCTGCAAAAAGGTACAGACCAAGCTTGTGGGGAGATGGTTGGAGACGTAGAAGCATGGGGTTTGATGTCCCCAAAGCCTGGGCCCGCAACAATGACCTCTGCATGTCTCTGTGAGTGCCCAAGATCCTAATGAGGCAGCGAGGTACGCAGGTTGCAAAAGCCTGTGCACACGGCTGCTGCTCAGTCAACCACAGATGCCAATGATGACCATTGTGTTCACGATGCAACCTTGATTTACAACACTGTTAATAATAACCAGTGGGGGGGGGTGCGGTGGTCCACACCTGTAATCGCAGCATTAGGAGAGACAGGCAGAATCTCCTCCAGTTCCAGGCCTGCTGGACTAACTTAAGTTATCATATGAGATCCCGTCTCACAAAACCAAAGCCGGGAAGATGGCTCACAGGGTGACGGCACTTGCCAGGCAAGCCTACCAACCAGTGCTTGATCACCCTAACACATGCAGTGAAAGGTGTGTCCCTCTGAGCCCCACACAAGCACTGAGACACACGCGCCCGCCCCCCCCCCCAGCCCCTCAACCTCGAATAAACAAAACCCAAAACCAGCCAACTAAAGAAAACAATCATCACGGGGCAGGGTATCAGGGCCCCGGAGCTTCCCAGCTGCCGGGAAATGCTATCCGGTCACCAACGCATCACCTAACCGTAACCCCACCTCCAGCTCAAAAAAGGCAAACGGAGGCACAGGGCGGCAAGCTGCTGTAACCGCAGCAACGGGAAGGGCAGTTTCACCGAGAGCTTGCAACCCGACCCGGAGCTCAGCCTTCCCCAGCCGGTTGGGTGGCGTGGGCCCGGGGCGCAGCACTCACTCGGCCTCCCGCAGGCGGCGCAGCACAGCCTCGCCGTCCGCCTCCGGCTCGGCCTGGGGCCCGCGGGCACGCCGCTCGTCCCGCCGCGGCCGCCTCCTCGCTGAGCTCTTCGTCTTCTTCCGCGGAGCCACGGCACTCCAGGGCTCCGGAGCCGCCACGCCCGCCGCCATGCTGCCGACGTCACCGGGGCGCGCCAGAGCGGCTGCGGCGCCGCGCCGTGACGTCACGAGCCCGCGCCGCGCCCGCGCGCCGCCGCCGGGACCCTGGAGGCGGGAGGTGGGGCCGCGCGCCGTCGCGGGGCTGCCGGGCGCAGGTATCCCGAGCCCCGGGCTCCCGGCGGGTGGGTGAGCGGGCGGGAGGGGGTGAGCGAGAGAGAGACCCGGGCGCTCGGCTTCAGCCCTGCTCCTGACCCGACCCCTGCAGGCCGCTTCCCACGCCGCCGGCCCCGCGCGCGTCCGCACCGTCCCCGTGCTGTCACCTCCCAGGCTGCCAGGGCCTTTTGAGGTCCCTGCCCACAAGATGAGCACGGACCTCATCTGGACCCTTGAGAACTAGCTGCTTGGTCCTCCGACCAGGCCTTTGGGACCCGGGGCGGGCAGTGGGTTGGTTCCAGGACCTGAGATGCCCCTGCGCAGACGCCCTCCCTGTGCGCTCTCCAGAGCGAGGCGACTGTAAACGGAGGTGACAGGTTCATAGGGGATCTCCGCCGGGCACTTCCTTCTTCCTCAGGGACTTTGCTTGCTTTTAAGACAGGGTCCTATTCTATAGCCATGTCTTATCTGCCTGGTGCTGGGATTAAAGAATGGCATGGATGCCTCCTTCCGTAAGAGACTTTAACACACTATGTTTCCGCAGATGTCAGAACTGTGTGGCCCGCTTTGGAGACCGCGACCCTGAGGGAATTAACCGGAGGAAGTGGGAATAGGACTGTAGATGAAAGTTATCGAAGTTCTGCCAAGTGCAGGGATTAAGCCATTGTTGTGTTCCCTCCTAGTGTTATCCCCACAGTGCAAGACTGCTGTCAGGGGGTTTTGGACTCACGGATAGTAATTTTAACACCTTGAACCACCTGTCTCTGGACAGTTCCTCGGAGGAGCCAAGCATTAGAGTAAGCGAGACCAGGTTCCTTTCTGACTGGGCATTCATTCCATGCTACTCTGGAAGTTCTCTTCTTGCATCCTGAAAAAACGGCATGAATTCAGATTAGGCTTCTCAGTGCCAGCCTGGCAGCCATTTGATTTGTGTGGCTCCTTAACACCCAGAGCCTTCACGCTTGCCATTTAATTTCCCTTCTGCAAGGCTGACCGTGTTTCCTGCTGAAAAATGAAGGGGCTTTGAAGTAGCTGCTACCTGCTCTTCTTTTTATTTTGAAGCACAGCTTCTGAGATGAACTGTTCATTGAACCTTGTGGGTCACATGCATGCTCGTGGGTCTCTGAAAGAATCGATTCTTTGTGTTTACTCAGAGCTGAGACGCTGGTGTGTGAACTGGAAACTTCTGAAGGAATCCACTGGATGGCTTTGAATTGTTGGTGAAGCTAGAGAGCCTATCAGAAGACGCCTCTGCCCATCTGATATGCCTCTGTACCCAGTGGAAACTCCCTGAGAGGAATTGGAAGAGGCCCCAGTGCGGTCAGACATATGGATGATCCTGAAACCAAACTACATGTCTACCTTGCTGAATAGATGTATCTTGTCTTCAGTCTGTTCTCCCATGAACTTCTCAGAGATGCAGAGATATTCCTGGAACTGAACCTGCCCTGGGGGGGGGGGAAGTTGCGTTTTCATATTGAATGAAAAGTGAGCAAGTGGCAGAAATCACGGGATGTGACTGTGTCTGGAGTCACTGGATTGGGGACACCAGTTGGGGACAGAGAAGTGCTTCTAGGAGGGATACCAGGTGAAGAGGATGAGGCCGGGTGGAGAGTAAATGGCCACCCCCACACCGCCAGAGATAACGTCCGCCTCGTGGTGAGTGTCAAGGCCCCCGCCTGAGGCTGCTTCTGGGGTCGTTTGAGTGACCTGGAAGCTTGGGCCAGCCAGTCTTACTGTTCTGCCTACAACGTCCTCATTAATCGTGGAAGCCATGTCTCTCCAGAGCTTATGTGTTTGCACCTTGCAAGTTTTTGGCTGGGGATATAGCCCAGTGGTAGAGTGTTCACCTAGCATTGGAGAGGCCCTGGGTGCAATCCCTAATACAGCAAAAGTAATCATAACCCAGAACATCTCGCAGACCCCACCTCGGCCGCTGTAGGTAGACGATTGTGGTGGCACAGCCAGCCTTGATGAGCACCTGGGTGTGGCCTCCTCTGTGGAGAAGCATGGTGGTTACAGCTGAGGTTCGCCCAGTCTGGCTCCTAAGGCTGTTGCAAAACGTCTGCCAGCATCTCGGTTCCCTCATGTGCCCTCTGTAGCTTCATCCTCATTCATACTCTGGTTCAGCAAATGCTCCTGAGGTGGCAGTGTAAGGTGTGGCCGCTCTAGACTCAGCAGACACAGGGGCTGCTTACACGTGGCGCCATTCCACATGAGGCCTGGGGTGCTGGGTACCTAGAGGGGCTGATTTCAGAGTGTGGGGATGACTCGGGTGGATGGGTGGTCCACAGTGGGCCCGTTGCACATTGAGCTTGAGAAAATGGATGGTGCTGGGACAGGTGCCTGTCAGGAGGAATGTGGACGGAGGTCCAGGGGAGGGCCTGTGAGAACAAGCCCAGTGGCAGTGTGTGTCTCCTTCGAGGCATGCTCTGGCTTCGAGGGTGTGCTGTCTGAGTCTGAGGACTAAAAGTGAAGCCCACTCCCTGCCTAATGCACTTTGTGCAATCAGGTGATGTTCACCTCAGGGTAAGATTCCTCCAGACCCAGACATCCTTGGCTGAGCCTGCAGTCCCAGAACTTGGCAGGGAGGCAGAGGCAAGAGGAGGCTGTGGAGTTAGAGATCCACCTGGGCTACAGAGTGAGACCTCTGGGTTGGTGGAAGTATTCAGAAAAGTGCAGAAGGTGCTAGAAACTCCGAAGAAAGATTCCTTTACACCGAGAAATCTGGAAGGGTGGGGAGTTAGCAAGACTGAGCTGCTGGCCGGGTTTGGAGGCTGAGCAGTGTTTTTCTGTCGCCTTTCAAAGGCTGCTGTCTTCCCGTTACAGACGAGCATGCCTGCTGCAGGTCCTCCACAGGCACCTGTTGAGTGAGTCCTCTGGGCTGCTTCTGACGAGCATGCTCAGGAGAAAAGTGCAGTGACGACCCCTCAGCCTGTGCTGTTACCAGAGCCTAGAGAGACGGCAAGAAAGCATGGCGCGGCCTGTGCTTGTGCAGCTAGGGGTGAGGGTTTCAAAGAGCAACTCGCAGTGGGTGACCTGGTTCCCTGCAGGGGTGGCTGCTTCCTCTTGCACATGAGCTGGTGGCTGGGGACAGGCTTATCTTTAGTCTGCCTCTGCTGCACTTGCAGTGGGTTTATCTGCTGGACTCTCCCTGGCAGCTGAGCGTCAAGCCCTCCCAGAGCCAGAGACAAGAGAGGAAGTGTCGTGAACTTATCATTGTCACCAGCCAGCGGGGATCCATGGCTCCGTTCTGTTTCCTTACCAGGTGGAACTATTTTTTTCTGTATGATGGTTCCAAGGTAAAGGGAGAAGGAGACCCAACCAGAGCTGGCATCTGCTACTTTTATCCCTCCCAGGTAAGCAGGGCCGTTGGGCGACACACACGGCCTCTTTTAAGACATGTTGGGGATGAAACTTGGGGCCACATGCATGCTCTTCTCTCTCTCCCCAGCCCTCTTTTTATTTATTTATCTCTCTGAGTTTTGAGACAGAGGTCCTCACTAAGTTCTTAGTCTGCATAGCCGCTGGGCTGATAAGCCTGTGCCACCAGGCAATACTCTTGATCTTAATTCCCAGGCAGCTCAGTCCCTCCTGTCTTCCTCGACATCAGAAGCAGAGGTTTTTGTCTGTTTCCTGTCCTTAAGTCTTTGGTCAGCTAGTTTCAAGAAGGTTTTATTCAAACAGAAAATTGGAGACTATTACAAACTCTACATGTTGGCAGCTGTGAACACTTCAAATTTTTTTGTTCTTTTTTTTTTTTTTTTTTTTTTTTTTAGAAGTTTCTTTGTGTAGCCCTGGCTGTCCTGGAACTATCTTTGTAGACCAGGCTGGCCTCAAACTCACAGAGATCCACCTGCCGCAGCCTCTGCCTTCCCAGTGCTAGGATTAAAGGTGCCTCTGGGAAGGCAGAGGCAAATGGATCTCTTGAGTTTGAGATCAGCCTGGTCTACATTGTGTGAGTTCTAGCATAGTCAGGGCTACACAATAAGACACTGTCTTAACAACAACAAAAACCAACACACACACACACACACACACACACACACACACACCCCTAGTCAGATGGCTCAGCAGGTCAAAACACAAGCCTGAATTAAATCTCTGGAATGAAGGTGTAGAAATTATGAATTCACCAGACTTACACAGAAAACAGTAAGTGACTGTCCACGTTGTTCCTGCTCCAAGGATGCAGACCCTGTCTGCCTGATACTGTGACCCCGGGGGAGGGGAGAAGGTCCCTATCCTCGATCCTCCCCTGTTAATAACTGGTCACATCCGCACCTGTAACCACGCCCAAAAGGCGTGGCTACTGTCACAGGCTCACAGGCAAATACCTCACTGCACTGGAACCCATAGTGGAAGGAAGAGAAAAGTGGCTTCCAAAGTGGCTTCCTTTGATCTCCACATAGGTGCTACAGTGTAGGTGCCCAACTCGCACCCGAGCACACACAGAAACGCATGCGCTAGTCATTAAAAAATATAAAAACTATTTTATTATCGGCCAGGGACTATGATGCCGGTCTGCACAGAGCAATCAGACCAACCTTTGCTTCTCTCACAGACCCTGCTAGACCAACAGGAGCTGCTCTGTGGCCAGCTTGCCGGCGTTGTGCGCTGCCTGTGGGACCTTTCTGGCACCCCGCCCACGCTCATCCGCCTGCGGAAGCTCAAGTTTGCCATCAGGGTGGATGGGGACTACTTGTGGGTAAGTCAAGTCTGAAGAGCAGGTTTGGGAGCCTCTCCATGTCAGGCACATGCCCCGCCCCTGAGCTACACCACAGCCCCTTCCCCCAAACACCTCAGATATGCCCTGCTGCTGGATGTGGGGGATTTCTTCGTGTTATTTTTACTTATCTAGCTTGCACATGTCTGGTGTGTGCGTGTACATGTGCGTGTGTGTGCATGTATCTCTGTGTACATGTGTATGTATGTGGAGACCTATTACTTTTCCTTGGTGAGCAGCTGTTCTCCGTTTTGGCGGTGTCCAGTCACTGTTATCTTCTGTTGCTGTTGCCTTCTGCAACCCGAGAAACTATTACCCGAGACTATTTTGGTCTCCAATCGTTTAAAAAAATGTTCAATTGTTTTTGCTTCTCAATTTGTGTTTATAAACCCGTCCGGACTTCTGTCTTGGGTGGTGAGAGTGGAGGTCAAGGGATAGTTTTTTTTCATCCACCTGGTTATCTAGCATCCGTGCGCCATCACTTCTGCTTGGAGAGTCCTGAGTGCAGAGAACAGTCCGGGGGTGTGAGTAGGGGCGGCTCCCACCACAGGACAGCCTGGGCTCCTCTCCATCCAGGTTCCTCGAAGATGTCCCATTCCTAGTGACTCCTTCCAGCCCAGTGGCTCTAAGGCACCTCCTCCCAGCAGGCTCTCATTCTAGCTCCGCATCGTCTTCTCACGAGGGACTGCCTCAGCGCTGTTACCTGCTCTCCGTATTTTAACATGCAGTGTCACCGCGTGGTCTCAGTACACGGCAGGAGGGCGGCCAGCACAGGTACAGCTCACAGAGCAGGCCTGAGTGCGCCTGAGCCAACAGGGGCCTGGGGTGAGCAGGGATGGACACTCAGGTCAGCCCCGTTGCCGGGAGACACGAGCGCTTGGTGTCTGTGGGGGCAGCCCTGCTGCAGTGGGGTCGGCTTAGCTGCAGAAGACGGGTTTTTAAGTTAATCTCAGCACACACAGCAGCAGGTCACGTTATGGCGTGGGTGCCCTTCAGTTATTCTCTGCCCAAGTTTTTGTTACCGATGTTCCATTGTGTCTCAATTTCCAACCTCCTTAAAAGTTGTCTTCTTGGTCCAGTTTGATGACCACAACTTTAATCCCAGCACTCTTGAGTTCCAGGACAGCCAGTACTACACAGTGAGTTCTAGGACAGCCGGGTCTACACAGTGAGTTCCAGCACAGCTAGAGCTACATAGTGAGACCCTGTTCAAAAAAAAAAATTTCCTCTTACCTCCTAATGACCTCCATAACCCCGCCCCTGACTTCGTGGCCTATGGGCCTAGAGAGCTGGCTCAGTAGTCGGGCTTTCCCAAGCACCTAGGTTCAGTTCCCAGCACCCACACGGTGGCTCACAACCATCTGTGATCCAATCCAGGGAATCTTCACGTGTCTTCTGTGACCCGCTACCTCCCCACCTCCCCCCAAATATAAATACATCTAAGTTGTCTGCAGAAAACATGTGACACTTATCCTTCCAAAACTATTTTCATTACATTTATTTATTTATTTTACATCCCGACCATAGCGCAGTTTCCCCTCCCCCTTCTCCTCCCTCTCCCCACCCACCTCCACCCGCAATTCACTCCTCCTCTGTTTCTGCCAGAAAGGGGCAGCCTCCCATGGGTATCCACTAAGCATGGCATGTCAAGTTGCAGTAAGATAAGCACCTCCCCGTGTATTAAGGCTGGACGAGCCACCCAGTGTGAGGAATAGGATCCCAAAAGCCATTATTTTGCCTCCTATACTGATTTCTACTGATTCTGAAGGTGCCATGGTTTCCTTATGACTTATGGGGACATTGTGCATTGCGGATCACCCCGATCTGCTTCTCCCTCACAAGTGATTGGATGATGGGCACATAATACCACACCTGGTGTCACATCTTACCAACTCATGTTGATACTCATTCAGGCTGTGTGTGTGTGTGTTTGTGTGTCTGTACCTCTGTACCATAGCATGCCTGCTGTGATGGCTGTGTGTAGGTAAGAGGCCAACAATTCGCTGGAGTTGGTTCTCTCCATCCACTGTGCAGGTCTCTGGGATTGAACTCTTATTATCCGGCTTGGCAGCTAGTGCCTTTATGCACTGAGCTGTCCTCCAGCCCAGATGTGTCCTTTAGTTAAGGAAGCTGTCTTCCTTGAGAGCTCTCTGAAAGCTTAGGTGGCTAAAGGCGTGTGGGTGTGTTGCTGAACCCTCTGTTCTCCTTGATTAACCTCCGGGTTTGCTTTTGTGACAGTGCTCTGCTGGTCTTGTGACTATGGCTCTGTGCTGACAGGCCTGGCATTGCTTCTCATCGGGACCTGGTTTTTTGGTTTTCATTTTTGCCATGTGAACTTTAGGATTATCCTTCTGAGTTCTTTGAGGGACATTGTTCGGATGTTGATGGGGGTTGTATTGACTGTGTGGATGGATCGCTTTCACACTGTACTTTATCTGGCGCTGAGCTTGAAGGCCCTGAGCTATTTGTTTATTTATTTATTTATTTGGTTTCTCGTGACAGGGTTTCTCTGTGCAGCCCTGGCTGTCCTGGAACTTACTCTGTAAATCAGGCTGGCCTCAAACTCATAGAGATCTAACTGCCTCTGTCTCCCAAGTGCTGGAACTAAAGACATGTGCCACCATGGCTGGCTCTCACTGTGTTCTTGACCTTAGTTTCCCAGACCTGGAAATTTTTGTGTCTATGATGATGAGATAGACTGTACTGTGTGTTCTTTCTGTGTTGCGTCTTTCTCTACTCTAGGTCAGGAAAACACCGGCCAGCCTTGTGCAGTGAGAGGCAGAGGCAGTGTTCCTTCTCTCTTTCTACCCCAGGGAAGAGTTGCCTCATGTCTAAGAGTTGTGGTGGTTTAAAATGAATGCCAGCCGGAAGACTTGGCTGCTGCAGATAGATCACAAAAGGAAGGGTGGGGTGAACCAGGCTGCACACGGCCTGGACCCGAGGTCAGCCACAGATCTCCTATGAAGCAGTGCCAGGCAGGCCTGCTTACCATCCACCTGTTACGCAAGCCTCACCCAGCACATTCGGAATGAATACTGTGCCCATGGTGAGCAAGCTCACCGTTACTGCTGGCAGGCAGCCTCTTTAGCCGGCACTTTCCTGCAGGTCACTGATCACACACACCTAATCTGCCAAGAGAGCGGCAAGTCTACGACTCAGCAGATGAGGACTCTGGGGCCCCTGGCTACTTGGAAACAGCCAGGAGGCAGGAATATATGTAAGGCAGAGTGAGAGAGAGCGAGAGAGAACGCGCAGCACGCGCGAGAGAGCTTTGTTAGGATCGGCGGGCTTAGGGGTGGTGCTGAGGAAAGTGGACTGCTTGAAATCTCCCGGAAGCCACCACACTGGACTAAGTGTTCATGAGGTGCTGAGGCAGGCAGGCGCTGGGTGGGGTACTGGGGCCCGTATCACATGACCTGCCAGCAACCTTTTAGTTCTTTGCTGCTCGGTTCTGACCACTAACGCCTACTCGGGGCCACACAGAACACACAGCAGTAAATGCTGCATAGGAACTGGATGGAGATGGCAGAGGGGACGGTTGTCCATCACCTTCCAATACTAGGACACAGCCACCTGCTGGACCCCCTGGCCACGGTGCCACTCTGCCTTAAATCCTTCCGGTGCACTATGCCCAGCGCCCAGTGAAATGGACAGCCGGTACTGACACTAAATCGTTCCTTGTCACACTTCGCTTCCGTCTCCCACCTCGCTTCTTACTGTGCCCTCTCACCTTCACACTTTTCTAGTTACAAGTAGGCTTTTGTTTTAGGTAATGATAAAACAGGCTTTTATTTCTCAGTAACTGTTTGAACAAAGCATTTCACGTGCAGGGTAAATCTGTAAGCCAAAGGTACATAAGGCCATTCATTTTCAGCACAGTTTTAAATGAGCTCATTTTACAGCTAAGTAAACCTTAAAATTCTACAATGTAATGCCTGAAGCAATGCCCAGGACTGAGAGAGCTGTGTATGTTTTGGCACGCAGGTGCACACAGCCCAAACCCAGGGCCGTACGCCACATCACGACCCACAGCTCTGCAGACCAATCCAGCCTCAGCCACGCACAAATGCAAAGAACCCGTTCCCCAAATGGCTCCCAGCACCCACCTAAGACACCAGCCCTACCACTGAGAGATGGGGGCTGTGTGGAAGGTGCCGGTTACAAACACGCCTGTTGTCATGAAGTGCACGCTTGAGCAGGGTTGAGCACCAGAGTCTCCACCACAACAGGGAACGCGTTGTCATGGAAGGGACAGAGTCTAAAGACAAAGTTTCCCGAAAGCTGTGAAGCTTTCCGTCGGTTAGGATAGACCTTTCAGCTGGGGTGAGGGGACCAAGCCTGAGAGACAGGCCAGGACCCCTCCGCCCTCGGAGAAGCCCCGCCCTCCATCCCCTTGGGACTTCTGTCCCCTTTGCTTTATCCTGATAGATAGCATCTTCATTTCTTGTGTGCTACCCCCAACTTCAGCTCCGGCCTGCTTCCTGGGACGTGGCAGCCATTACTTGGGATTGGTTTTTGGCCTGGCCTCCAGTAGTCTGCCCTGGGTTGGGTGGGGAGCAGCCTGCGGTTTGGGGGGGCCGTACTCCCGCCTCTGCAGGCGCTGCCGCCCCCGGGCCAGGGCCTCCAGGTACCACTGCTGCTCTTTCCACCGCTGCTTTCCCTGTTCCAGCTCCTCCTTTCTGGTTTCCAGCTCACGGAATTCCCGATCCAGCTGCTGGAGCTGTGTTTGCAGGCACCGGTTCTCGGCGTTGATACCCTGACAGAAGTCCTTGTGAGCCTGCTTGGCCACAGCTGCCAAGGCCTTGGCCTTCTTCTTCAGCTCCCTGGTGATGCCCTCGCCTGACTCCAGCAGGTTCAGCTCCTCCACTTGCTTCTCCAGGGCAGCTTTATCCTTCAGGAATTGCAAGTGTGCCTCCCGGTCCATGAAGGGGATGTCGGCCACTATGCTGGCTTCCTCCTGCTCTAAGGCCTGGATCTTTTGGTCCTGGCTCTCCTTTACCTGTGCTACAGGCCTCAGGGCCTTCAGCTTCCTCCTGAAGCCAACCTCCATCTTCCTGCTCCGCAGCAGCTGCTTCTGGAGGTTGGTTGTGCGGGAGGCGAAGGCAGAGACCAGTTCTTGCCTCCTGTCCTTGACCTCCTGACACTGCTGGATGTAATCTTTCCACAGGGAGTCATACTTCCTCTGGCTCTCCTCCTCCTTCTGCCTCAGGCGCTCCAGGAAGGGCTTGGTTTCTGTTTCTTCCCAGGCCATCTCCTTCTTCAGTTCCTTGATGTCCATCATCAGTACTGACCGCCGGCTCTTAACAGCCTCTATCTCCTGTCCCAGGTCATTCATGGCCACCACTGTCTTCCTCCTCACCCTCTTCTCCAGCCGGGTCATGGACTCTGGCCTCAGATAGCTGTTGAGAATGGTCATGTGAGCAGACTCTGTATGTGGGGGCTGGGAGCTCACAGCAGACCCTCCTGTGGAGTCCAGGCCCTCACTGGGACTACTCTCCAGGTCTAGGTTGCTGATGCTGACCTCTGAGGAGCAGGCACTGGCCTCATGGACCTGTCTGTCAGAGAGGCTTTGACCAATTAGGGGGAGACCCTCCTCCTTTTTCTTCTGGGCTAGGAGAACCAGTTCTGGCCACCTCACCCGAAAGTCGCAAATGGCCTTCTTCCTGGCCAGGCAAGGCCTGTGATAGACGCTCTCGTATGTAAAAGCAGGCTCCTCCTTCCTTGCAGGAAGTGATGGTGGTCCAGCAGCCCCGCCTCCTTGATTGTGGTAGAAGAGGGTGGGTCTTCTGTTCCTGGTGTCCCAGGTGGTGAGGTCCTGGCCTTGGGACTCCATAGCCCCTCCTGTCCTGGCGACAGGGCTTTCCCCCTTCCAGGCCCTAATGCCCGAGGTGCAGAAACTCAGCACCTTCTCCGGCTACAGCAGCCCCTTCTGTTCATCCTCCAGGCCCTACAGCCACTGGCAACCACCTCCCCCAAGTCTCCCAGTGTTGGCCCAGGCAGAGCAGAATGTGGACTGTTGGTCTAGACATTAACCCTTAGGCGACGGGTTTACCTGGGGGCGGGGCTTGGAAGGGGCGGGGCTTGTGGTGAAACGGAACCGGATAGAGCCTGGCCTTGGAGCTTGTGTACATCGAGTTTCAAAGGAAAGCTACAGCAGCTGGGCTTTCTCAGCCAGGCACATCGGTTGTGTCCCTGTGAGAGCCAGGAAGACCCTTCGCTGTGCGGGCTGGGCAGGAGCCCTGGGAGGGAGGGAAGGGGCCAACGGCCACGAGGCTCCCGGCTCCTGGCTTCCCTTCGCCGTGCGTTTGGGTGCAATCTGAGTCTGTTCCTCTGGATTGGGACTCCCTCCGTGCTCGCTGGGTTCCCAGTGGCATGAGCGTCCTCCCGATGCCATGGCTGGTGTTGAAGGGTGGGGCTTGCACAGCAAGCTACCTCAGTTTCCCAGGAAGGGAAAGCCACCCCAGAATTGTGCCCTGTGCAGCCACCTGGGTCCCGCGGTTACAGTGAAAGTACAGTTGAGAAGGCCGCCCAGACACTGTGATCTTAAAGGGAAACCAGTAAGCCCCTAAACAAAAACTGCTGAACAAGAGTGGGAAACTCTGTAAATGGGGTCGGACGAATGCGCCAAGGAGATGGCAGATAAAGCCACAACTGCAAAAACTTCCACTCAGGAACAGTTGTGGCAGGGATTCAGTAAGAAAACTGTCTCACCCTCAAAAGCCAAAAACCACCCTCAACAAAAGCTCCAGCACGGAGCGGATCCTCTTTCCTTTCTTGTCTCCAAGCGTTGGGGATGCCTATTGTGTGAACACTGAGGGGCAGGGATGAGCCAGGCTTTCCTGTGGCTCACACCGTTGCTCCGTCTGGGTCGGATGGGGTCCACTGTCCCCATACGTGGGCAGAAGTGAGCTCTGCTGGCCACACTCAGCTTTGCGTCCTTGATCCAGGTGGACTCTCTTACCCTCCCTGCACCCTGCCCACCCTGAGGTGGCTGATGTTCTAGTCTAGGGGTCGCCCACATGCACAGACTTGTACAGAAGAGGGACCCACCTTCCTGCTCTGAAGACCTTCTGATTGTTAATCACCCGCAGGAAGGACGCTTTTGTGGGTGTCATGCACACCCTCCAACTTCAGAGTTCTTGGGGCTCTGCAGCTTTGACAGGCAGATTTCACCCACCCACTCGGCTTGGGTTCAGAGCTATCAAGCCCCCAACATTGCTCTCAGTTAGTGAGATCTATTCCTGGCCACCAAGGACAGGGCTGTGTCTCTTAATGCGCTTCCCAGCCTCTGCCCACCTCCTACCACCTACACCTTTCAGCTCATCAGTGTCCCCTTCCCCTGCTGTCTGCACCTCTCTGAGCCTTCCCTCACTTAGGGGCTATAACAGCCACACCAAAGCTCCCAACCTGTGGGTGTCCCGTGACCTCGGGCCAGATAAGCTCAGTTTTCAGCAAGATGGCATTCAGCTGTTGTGGGAAAGGCCACTGTCAGGACAGACACCTGAGACCAGAGAGTGAAGTTTATCCCCACCGGTGCCTCAGGGAGCCCAGAGAACCCGAGCGCCCACCTGCGGTCACTCGTGGCATTTATCGGTTGGTGTGGCATCACTCCTGACTTTTCTCCTCATTGCTGCTGGCTTTCAGTTTTGGTCTGCGTGACAGATCAGCATACGGGACCGTGAGAGATGGTGTCTGGCAGCAAGTGGTTACCGAGGCAGAATGCAGGTCAGGCTGACAGTTCTTTCACAGCAGGTGCAGCTTGAGGTAAAGCTCCGTGGTTTTATTTCTTGCAGACTCTAGTCTCAGCCATCGGGCTCCATGGCAGGTTGTGTGTGTGTGTGTGTGTGTGTGTGTGTGCGTGCGTGTGTGTGTGTGTGTGTGTGTGTGTGTGTGTGTGTTTTCCCTGGGGAGATGAAACAGTTGTGGTCCTAGTCAGGGTTACTATTGCTGGGGACGAAACACTATGACCAAAAGCCATTTGTGGAGGAAAGGGTTCACTTGGCTCACATTTCCGTATCACTGTGCATCCCTGGAGGAAGTCAGGACAGGAGCTCAAGCAGGACAGGAACCTGGAGGCAGGAGCTGATGCAGAGGCCATGGAGGGTGCTGCTCACTGGCTTGCTCCCCATGGCTTGCTCAGCCTGCTTTCTTATAGAACCCAGGACCACAGCCCAGGGATGGCCACACCCACAGTGGGCTGGGTCCTCCCCATCAATCAATCACTAATTAAGAAAATGACCTACAGGCTTGCCCACAGTCCGATATCATGGAGGCATTTTCGCAACTGGGACTCCCTCTCAGATGACTCTTTTGTCGGGTTGACAAAAGGTTAACCAGTACAGCTATTACTTACCCTAGAGAGGGCGGCCGTGGTAGACCATAGTATAGATCCCAGCAAAGCCCTGTTTGGTGAGCTTTCTGGAGTTACTCACAGGAATGTAGGTGCATTAGGGGGTTCTGACAGGAGTAGAGACAATTCAGTGATGGCGACAGCTCACAAAGCTAGAAACCTGAAGCTCTGCACAGCCGAGCTCTGAAGCAGCTCAGCAGGTGGAGAGCATCCTTTCCTGTGCCTTAGTTGGTCTGAGCATCTTCCAGGAAACCGGGCTCCTCTGAGAGAGACTCTGAACAGACTGCCACGTGTATCCTCTCGGGGAGGGGCGGGGCATGGCGGATCTGCTCCGTTTCAGGAACTTCCTGAAGCAGCTGTGAGTTGTTTCCTTCCTGAGCCTAAGGAGCTTGTCTGCAGGATGGAGTGTTCTACTGTAAACAGCCCAATCTTAAAGAGCCTCCCTCCTAGATGGAAGGTTGCAGGCTCAGAGGGAACTGCGGTGTAGCATTGTGACATGTGGGCTTTCCCTTTGCCACTGATTCGTCATCCATGCCCCCGTACCCGGTCTCCCTTGTGAGGGCTGTGGGCTTGTCCTGGAAGCAGGACTTTGTGGCTTCTCTCCCCCTGCCCCCACCCATGACCTGTGCAGCTCAGGCTGTCTGCTGCTCTCCTAGCTCCTAGGTGGGTTTTGTTTTGTTCTCTGCTCTTTTCTGTCACTGTGGATTTCTGAAGCTCTCTCTCCCCCTGTTTCTATCTTGGGGTCGAGTCCATTGATCCAATAACTCTTCCTCACTTTGTTTCCATAGTGAGACCGACCACACACATGCTAGGTAAATGCTCCACTGATGAGCCATGCTGCAGTCCTTCATGGCGTAATTCTCTAGAAGATGTAGTTTTTGGACAGGATCTCACTGTCGCCCAGGCTGACCTGGAACAGGCTCTGTACATAGCTCAGGCTGCCCATCAGGATCTCACTCTCACGGTAGCCCAGGCTGACCTGGAACACGCTCTGTATGGAACCCACGCTGGTCATCATCCCTCAGCCTCCCAACTGCTGGGATTGCAAGCTGGTGCTCTCCTGCCTGGCTAGGTGGGCCTGCTGCAGGTGCCGTGGAGAGCCTGGACTCTGGTTGTGGCCTCAGAGAAAATCTGTCTTTGTGCTTTCCGTCTGCAGGCTCTGGGCTGTGGTGTGGAGCTCTCTGATGTCAGCTGCAGGCAGTTTCTGGATCAACTCATCGGATTCTTTCACTTCTACATGGGCCCTGTCTCCCTGGCCTACGAGGTAGAAGTGCAGATTGCTAGGGGCGGGGCATTGGGCCCTTCAAATTCAGCACTGCTGGGCCCAGGCCTTCCTTGGGCCCACTTCTGTAATACAGGGCCTGGCACCTACAGTACCTGGCGCTGTGTGACAAGGTGGCACACCCTAGAGCCCCTCGGGGAGGCCTGTGTCCCCGTGTGTCCCCTCCGCCCTCCTCTCCCGGTGGGTGCTCCTCACTGAAGGGTCTGCACTGTGATCTCAGCTGCTGACACCCTCCCCTCCCCCATCTCGGTGTCAGAGCCGTCCTCAGGAGGAGCTGAGCCTGCAGTGGGACACCTTCATCACACAGGTCCTCAGGGGCACCAGTGAGGCACACAGGGTCTTCAACGCCTTGTGGAATCTGGACCACACCAAAGTAAGGCCGCTGCCCACCTCTTCACAGCCCACAAACCACAGGGCTGTGTGTGTGTGTGTGTGTGTGTGTGTGTGTGTGTGTGTGTGGGCTGCTGGGACCGGGCTGTGAGGTACTGCAGAGCACTGGTGTCAGAGCATGTAGCGAGGGACATGGGAGGACATGTGTTTCCAGTTGACGAACAGTTCCCATGCGGTGGGGTGAGGCAGGTGCCTCTCAGACCCTCAGCGTCCCCCGATGGACCAGGAGTCCTGCTTCCAGGACTCCGCCGAAGGCCAGTGAGGATACACCAACACGCACAAAGAAATATATATTTGGGCAGTGGAGTGCCATCATCGCCTCTGAACGCAGGCCTGAAGGCCCCTTCTCTCTCCACGCAACTGGCAAGGCTTTATTGACTCCATCAAAGTGCCTGGCCCGCATTGGACTCGTTTGCCTTTGAGAACCATCCCACTTCCCATCCCACTCACCTAATGGCCTGGGTGCCTGCGCAGCTCAGCTCTGTACCTTTCATGTCACTGCCCAAGAAAGCACCGGGACTCAGCATTTCCAGAGCCCACTGTGCTGGGCCTGCCGTAGGGTTTTCCCGCTTCTGTGGACAGCTCGGAAGGCCGCCTGGTACTGAGCACAGTCTGGAACTGTGCGGGTGAGGTCACTCTGTGCGTGTGGCCTTTCTTACTGTAGTCCTGACCGCCTGGCCCACTCACCTCAGTGCTGTCAGCCGGGCAGGGAGCCGGGAGGCTGCAGTGTCTGGGGACTTCAGCGCAGGCTCATGTGACCTCCAGGGCCCAGCAGCTGATTCCTTACAAGGGCTGTGGGCTGTGGCCCCCTCAGCTGGGCACATGTCTTGTCTTCCCCAGGTCGAGCCCCTGCTGCTGCTGAAAGCAGCTCTCATCTTACAGACCTGCCAGCGCTCACCGCACGTCCTGGCTGGCTGCATCCTCTACAAAGGACTGTGAGTTGTGTACACCTGTGTCTCCACTGGTTCCAATCGGTACTCTCTGCAGTTGTTTAGCCAATGCCAGGCCACTTAGATCGGCCAAGGGTGCATCACCATGCAGTTGGGAACGGTTCAGGACAGGGACCGCGGTGAAGTGTCAGTGGGCAGGATGCTGTGGGCAGCTCTCCCAGTAGAGGCTGTGTCTGGTGCTGCCCAGATGCTCCCAGCCGTCCACCAAATTCACCAGCTGTCTTCAGGCTGGGAGAGCGCAGGGCCCGGCAGCCTCTCCTTACTGCTCACTGCCCAGGCAGGCCGGGCCTTGGGCAGGGCTGAGAGGCAGAGTGGGGGGTGAGCAATGGCTTCTCTTCCTCCCGGCTCCGCCATCTTGGACTGGGAGCCCCAGTCTCTGCTCTTGGTAAGTGGAGATCCTTTCGGGAGAATCACAGAGTGGCCAGGTGTGGAGGGAGAAGCAGTGACCCCCATGAACATCATCCCTTTCCTCTCCCCCGGTCTCCTCAGCATGACTCTGTGCGTCCCTTTGACAAGGTGGTGTTTGTGGGCAGGCAAGGTGGCTCAGTGACTAAAGGTGCTTGCGGCTAAGCCTGGTAACCAGAGTCCCATTCTCAGACACACAGTGGAAGGAGAGAACTGACGCCTCCAAACTGTCCTCTGACCTCCACATACATGTAACACTTGCCTGTGAGTGCATGTGTGCACGTGCACGCACACACACATATATACACCCCACGATAATGTTTTAAACATTTAAAAATAGTTTTGTTTTCTCTCTCATATTTTCTGTCTCACATACATATATATGTACTTATATAGTACACACATATGTAATAAGTACACACACACCCTTTTTTTTTTTTTTTTTTTTTTTTTTTTTTGTTTTTGTTTTTGAGATAGTATTTCACCTTGTAGCCCTGGCTATCCTGGAATTCTCTATGTATACCAGGCTGGCTTTGAACTCCCAAAGACAGGCTGCCTCCACCTCCCCATGCTGCAATTAAAAGCACGTGCCAGCACGCCCAGCACAGAGAATAGACGATCTTCTGTCTCTGTCAGCTGTGCCTGTGGCCAGCGGTGTGGCAGGCAGCGCCACACGGTAACCCCGTACAGGCTGCCACACTGATCCCCTCTGCTCTCTGGGCAGTGGGACACTGGCATCTCTGGAGCCGAGAGGCCCCCAGTCCTTCCTCTCATGGTGTTCTTACCCCTGTGCCTTACCCGCAGGATCGTGAATTCCCAGCTCCCGCCTTCCCTCACCGCCAAGGTCCTGCTTCACCAGACCGTCCCTGCAGACCAGGTACCTGGCGGGAGGCCGACCCGGAACCCCTGCCATGGAGCCGAGGGCGGCTGGCCCCACGTGGTGGGCAGGTGTGGTGGGCAAGGAGTAAAGCAAGGGTGACACGAACATTGCCCTGTGTGGTGGACTTGTGCCCTGGTTCTTATGAGCCAAGCAGTGCTTCGGCCCCCACTAGCATAGTGTTGACGGCGGAGAGACCGCAAGAACATGCTCCCTAGTTGACAGGGAGATCGCTGACCGTGGCGCTGTGTCTCGTGCCAGCCCTGGGAAGCTGCGGCAGGACAATAATCGTGAGTGCAGAGCTTCCCTAGGCTGCATACTGTGTCTAAAACTGGAGGAAAGGAGGAAGAGACAGGGGGGAAGGGCATGGGGACATGGAGCTTCTTGTGTATTCGTGTGTGTGTGTGTGTGTGTGTGTGTGTGTGTGACCAATGAGAATAGGATTACCCACAGGCAGGTGACATGGTGTTACATACTCCAAAGGCAGAGGCAGGTGGCTGCCTGTGAATTTGAGTCCAGCCTGGTCTACAAAGCGCGTCTCAGGACAGCCAGGGCTGGCTGCGCCGTGAGACCCTGTTTTGGGAAGGGAGAAAATGCCCCAGACAGCAGCACAGGCTCCACAGCTCTCACCCAGCAGTTTCCGTATAGACTCTGTCTCTCTGATAAATTGCTTCATTTTGATTTTGGAGATGGGGTTCCCATCGGGTAGCCTGATCTACATAGAGACCTTCTGACCCATCCGCCTCACCTCCCCTTGCTAGGGCCCCAGGCTCATCTGCCAGCCTGGCTTGTTCTGTGAACTTCGGTTTCAAGTGCTTCTCTGGCCTCACTCTCAACCGTGAGAGTGAGTAGCCACTCAGCGCCTGGGTGGGCCCTGGTTTCCAGTGGGTGCCTTCGCTGTCAGCGTTTGGAGCTCGGAGATGCCCTTGCCCGTCTTCCCTGGGAATCCACACTGAGGAAAGACAGCCCTTTTAGCCTGCTAGTGAAGGGGGAAGCCAGCGGGTGGGATTTGACTGGCCTTCTGGTGTTACCGAGTGTGGTTGTGTCGAGCTTGACGCCACGATCAGTGGTCGGGACAGAGGCTCACAGCCCCTAAGGCCGGAAACGTGTTTTCTCACCTGTGTGGAGGAACGGCTAGCGTCTGGTCTGTGGCTGAGGGCCAGTCGGCTTGCATGAGCCACCGCAGACCTCCTCAGGTCTTAGCCAGAGAGTTGACGATGAGTGCAGTCACTGTAACTGTGTTAAGTGGAAATACTGGATTGAATTTAATGTCTCAGAGAAGTAAAAGGCACTTACTAAAAAAGGAATTCCCAAGTATTAATAGGACTGTGAGCTTTAGGAAGAGAGGATATAAATTGTTGTTTATTGTTGCTGGGGATTGGAGCCCAGGGCCTTGAGTTTTGCCACTGAGCTGTATTCCCAGCCTCTGTGGCTGTGCTCTAGACCAGGTTCCCAGAGGTGGGCTTGGGTGGGGAACCCTGGCTTTGGTCTTTTATGGGAGAAGGTTAACAATTCAGAGCTGCAGCTCTGAAGCCCGAGTGGGCCCAGTTCTTGCCTCCTCCTGGGCTCTGAGAAGCCAGTGTCCCCTCTCCATCTGCTTGGGCTCTTGGCACAGGGTCACACCAGCTCCCTGGGCTTGGCTGACTCCCTCGAGCAGATGGTCCATGAATTCCTAATGGTTGTCAAGAGGAGAACGTGGTGTCTGGCACCAACCCGAGTGTATGTTTGTTTCAGAGACGTCCTGGAGCAGAGGCTGCCCCACAGGAAGCAGGTACGTGGTGAGGTGGGCAGTGGTAGGCTGCCTTCATACTGGGGTGAGCCTGGGACAGGGCAGCCAGCCCCCTGTGGGTCTCCTCTCTCATAGGTCACAGGTGAGATGGGTCTAGGCCCTTTGGCACCATGGTTTTGGGCATGCCCCCCTTCGACTCCACTCTGTGACATTCCTTAGACAGGGCCTGGGGTGTGGTGACTGCTACCTCCTTCATGATGAAGTGGTGTCCCCGAGAGCTCTGGCCGCATTCCCAACCTGAATCTGGGGAGTCCTTGGCAGCCGAACGAAAGCCCTTTCTTGTGACGTCATGTCTGATTGAAGCTTCCACACTTTCCTTTCCCCCCACTGCCCACAGCATCTAGGCTGCAGCTCCCGGACTTTGGGCTAAGGGAGGGAGCAACTAACACCGGGTGTGGTGTTAGTGAGACATGTGAGTGCCAAGGGCCCCCAGGCCCCAGGGGATCGCTGCCCGTGTTGGTTTTATTTGCAGGAGCAGCATTGCCCCCCAATGTGCAGATCACCCGGGTTTTTGTGAGCGAGGAGGAAGTCGCTAGCCTCCACGAGTTCACGGTGGAGCAGAAGACTAGGTAGGTTCTGTGGTCCTCTTACACCGTGTGCTCCCTACTTGTATCCTCCACCATCTTGTGGAGGTATTGGCCAGAGCTGTCCTAGCCTCAGGGGACACAGCAGACTCAGTGTGACACCCAGTGTGAGCCACTCTCAGGAGACTCCAGTCAGTGACCCGAGCTCATTATGATAAAGCCCTCACCAGTCTTTGCCCTTCTTTACTTTTGTGGTTTGGCCATGGTGGGTGGCAGCTACTTGTCACTGACGCCTGTGCCTCTCAGGGATCGGAGCCTCAATGTCCCCGCAGAGGCCATTGTCCCACACTCTGCTGATGTGACCTCTGTTTCGTTTGCCAGCCTCTGGGAAAGTTCATCTCCGTGCCCTCCCTGGGATCAAAGCACCCCTGCCCGGGCAGAAGATGCCTGGACATCAGCTACCATCCTGGAGCCCACACCCCATGACGGAGCGTGGCTGAATGGCCGGGGGGCAGATGGACACTTGCTTGGGCATGAGCAGCAGGGACTTGCGGCCGCTGCAGGGCTGTGCACCGCTGCCTGTGGTCCGGGTTCTGGCAGCAGCAGCAGGCTGCAGCAGGAGGAACTGGACTTGTCTGAAATCCACATCTCAGAGGCTCAGGAAGCCTTCCCACCCATGCCGGCCCTGGGTGATCAGGGAGCTGCCCTCACCAGCCACCGGGCCCCCATGCTGCCTGAAGACACAGTAGTGTGCAGCCGCCTGGACCCTTCCTCTCTTGAGAGGCTCCCGGGGAGCGGAGGGCTGGAAAGGCTTTCAGACCTTCCCATCTCCAACGGGCAAACCCACGCTCCTGGCACGGACCCTCTCCCCAGGAGCGGCAGCAGGCCTATGGTACTTCCTCCTCAAGATCCTGTGGGTGCGGGGCCCTGTGCGGAGCCCTGTGCGGAGCGGTGTGGCCTTGGAAGCCTCGAGCGCCGTGGGTGCCGATCAGCCCTAGCATGCACTTTGTGCTCCACTGACTCTCAGGGCCCCTGCACCTCTGCAGACAGAAGCGGCTTCGAGCCGTCCCCAGCTGGCCGCCATGCAGGGCTCTGGCCCATGAAGCTCTACACTCACAGTGTGAACGGGCTGGTGCTATCGCTGTTGGCTGAGGAGCCTCTTCTCAGAGACACTGCAGCCATCGAGGAGGTGGTGAGTGTCCCCGGGCTCCTCTGTACCCTCGCCTTCCTCCTAGGAACATGGACCTCCCCCACCCCGCCCCAGTTTATGTAGTGAGGCTGAGGGTAGTGCCCACTTCTGTGAGGTTTTGTGGGCGTGTAAGAGTGAGCCGCACGCGCATCATAGCACGGGCAGGCAGTGTTGGGCTCTTGCTGTTCGGCTTCCCGCGGCCTCTCTGAGCTCCGGTGTTGGGGAAGGGAAGAGTGAACAGGAGAGTCTTGCACACAGCCGTCCCTCGGGGCCTTGTTTCCTTCTCAGTAGCCTGCAGTGGTGTTAGCCTCCCACTCTGAGGTGGTGAGGTCATGCAGCCAGAGACTGCAGGCTGGGCTGAGCTGCCCTGTTCCTGGCTCAGCTCCTAGCTGAGGCACTGCTACCAGCATCTGTCTCCTGCAGCACGTCACGGCCTGGGGTGGGGGTCCCGGGAACCCTTCATTTCCTTCCTAGACCCAGCCTCACATGGTGGCTTTGTACGCCTTCCCAGAGTGCATTTGAAATCCAAACTGGCTGTGGAGAGAGCTTTTTGAGTGGCCACCCCTTCCTGAAGCAGTGAACTGAGCTCGCAGGTCTAGGCCCAGGCTGGCTGGCGATAGAGTTGCTATGGTAACAGCCTTGCTGTGGTTGGCAGGAAGAGCCGTTGCTGCAGGGCGAACGGTGTTCTGGGGCCCCACTTGTTTTCCTCTTAAATCCACATTATTCCGAGGCGGTCTCGTTGGCACGCATGCCTTGTGGCCCTCCACTGAGGAGCCGGTCACCTTGGGGCACAGGGCAGGCTGCTGGACAGCTCCTCCGACCCCGACTTTTCTGTCTCCTTCCACAGAGCCTGCCCATGGCCCAGAGTGGAGGCTTGTTGTACATGTCTTCATTTAGCATAGCTGTGGGTGGCTGTGTCCACCTCTGCAAAGGGCCTTGGCTGCGGCTTCTTCACACGGGGCAGCTCCGTGCCTCAGTTTCCCCAGTTCGTACTGTGCTGAGCCTCAGGGGTGTTTGCTTCAAAGGCCTGAGGTTTGCATGCAGAAAAACAGATAGAAGAATGCTCCTCTTTTTGCCTCGACCCTCCCCCGCTCTGAAGAGACTCGGCCCAGGGTGCCTTGGGGAGGGGTGGTCCGCCAGGCTGGAGGGCTGTGTTAGCCAAGCTGAGGGTGTCTCTAGAGGACACCCTGCAACCCCTGTGCTGGGAGGAAAAGAGCCTTGTGAGGTGGGGGCCATGCACATGGCAGGTCCTGAATTCCCGCTGATTCTCACCCCTCCGCCCCAGGCTTGTCTGCTCTTGCTGATAGGTTAGAACTTGAGAGGAGGGGGCCCTGTCCTCTGCTGTGTGGAGGCATTTGTCAAGGCCAGCCACAGTGTTATGACCGCAGCCTCCAGCTGGCCTGTAAAGGAGGGTTGGTGCTGCTAGGCCAGGAGATGGGGTGCAGGGTATGGAAGATACGCTAGTGGCTTAAATGAGTGACCTTGAACCAGACGGACCCCAAGTCTGCTTTATAGGAAAGGCTTGTTCCCGTGCCTGTCTTAAGTAGACTACAGTCAGAAATGCCTCAGCTACTCTCGAAGCATCTTTCCTGCTGCGTTCTGTCCACACAGATGTCCACAGCAGGCAGGGCAGTGGGTGACAGGCTCCTGAGCCTGGGAGCTGTGCTTTCAAAGGGAAGTGCGGGAGGCTCCTGCCAGGGGGCAGCTTAGTGTCCCTGAGCCTGGTTTTCAGCTCTGTGCCCAGTGTATCCCCAGGGTTGCAGGGAGCCTATGAATTACTGCCGCATTAGGCCGTGCGGGGGCATCAGGGTATGAAGGGTGTGGTTGTGGCCTTCTGTGACCTCTCACAATACTGTAACAAATATAAACAGGTGGTCACCTGGGCTCTACCAGGGCCCTGTGTCTGTGACAACACTTGCTCATCAGAGAAGTCTCCTCCCTCTTACATCATCTGTCTCATGGTGTACGCTTGGGCAACTCTGTCTCAATCACAAGTTAGGCAGAGAGTTTGGAAGTAGAGCCTGATGCATTTAGAGACCAGGGTTTAGTTGCCCCACCCTGTGGTCCAGTTTTTCCTGTCTCTCGTTAGCAGTTTGAGGAGTGGCTGGTTTCAGGTCCCTGCGGGTCCCAGTGTCATGCCACCCCAGTCCCCCAGGCACACACAACTTTCAAGCCTAGGCTCATTTGTGTCTGCTAACCCAGTTTTGGTAAGTGTCCCGGCCTTTAGGGCAGGGGGCCTCCACACCTGTACACTTCGGAAGCCCGTGGTTGAAGTGCCTGGCGCGGCTATGTTTATTCATGGGGATCTGCTCACTCACTACTTACTGCTGGGGCTCCTGAGACGGAGCCTGAGTCGTTCCTGCAGCCTCTTAGAGCCCCTGAGCACAGGCCACGGACAGCACTCGTCGGTCCTTGTAGAAGCTGCACATTTTTCACGGGCGAGATTAACCCACGAGGAGCTTCACCCAGGCCGTGCTGGGAAACGCTGGGAACACACCAGTATTGTTAAAGCAGACAGTTCCAGAGCTGGAGAGATGGCCCAGGGGTTTAGAGCACTCGCTGCTCTTCCAGAGGACCAGAATTCAGATCCCAGCGCCCACATGAGGCAGCTCACAGCTGCCTAAACTCCAGCTCCAGGGGACCTGATGCTCTTCGCCCTCTGCACACGAAAGGCAGACAAATTAAAAATAAGTAAACATTTAAATGAAGCAAAACGGGTAGTCGCCTGGGGGCTCCTGGGAAGCCACGGCTAGGCAGCCACCACTGCTGGTGGCATCGTGGGTAATTTTTCTTTTCTTTCGTTTCTTCTTCCTCCTTCTCTTCTTCCTTTCTTCCACCCATGGTGGCCTCAAATTTGTGATCCTCCTACGACAGCCTCCCGAGTGCTGGGGCTCTGGGCTAGTACTGCCACGCCTCCCTTCTCTTAAATTAGAGCCTGCTCATTTCATCATCACACAATATGACCCTTACTTTACAAATCCAAGACCATGGGGCTGGAGAGGTGACTTAGCAATTAAGAACGCTTGGTTCTTGTCCAGTTCAGTACTAGCACTCACACTGCACAATTCACAGTTGCCTACACACCTGCTCGAGGGATGTGACGCTCTCTTCTGAGTTTCACATAACACACGGCGCACACACAGATGCATGCACACAAAAAGAAAACATGTATGTATGTATGTATGTACAGCATGTATGTATGAACATAAGAGGATGGGGATGGTGCACACCTATAATTCAAGCACCCAGAAGGCAGAGGCAGGAGGCTTTCCACAAGTTCGAGGCCTGGTCTCCATGGCAAGTTCCAGGCAGTCAGGGCTGCACAGGGAAGCCCTGTTTCAAACAAACAGCAGGAGCATGTGTGGGACTGGGTGCCTCAGGCAGACACTGGCTGCTTTCATTAAGGTCTAGTGACCACTGAGCATCATCTAGATGCTCACTTTTTAACTGGGTCTGCCACCCTGTGACCCACTCCTGACCCCTCTGCAGTACCACAGCAGCCTGGCGTCCCTGAACGGGCTGGAAGTCCACTTGAAGGAGACACTACCCAGAGACGAGACCAGCCCCACAGGCAGCACATACAACTTCGTGCATTACGACCGAATCCAGAGCGTGCTCACTGGTAAGGGGCAGGTTCAGGGACCCTGGTTCTACATGGGTGGAGGGAGAACCCAACCCCAGTCATGGTAATACTGTAGCACACAGCCCTCCGGCCACAGCGGGGGGGGGGGGGGGGGGTTTCAGCCACTGAGCTCCCTGGCAAACACTCATTCCTTGTTGTGAGTGTAAATATCGGTGGCTGGCAGCACTCTCTCCCGGAGGAGAGGCAGCGGAGGAGAGGCAGCGGTAGGGCGGCCACTTGGGCTCTTTGCCCCCAGGCCTCTCACCCACATTCAGGCTTCAGCCACAATGCCCCCCATGTCCAGGACTGGGCCCCAGGAGTCAGGGAGGGCTGCCATTCACCACCTCTGTCTCCTCCTACAAGCCAACCTGCCTCTAGTGGTCGCTCCCCAGGACCGTCGCTTTCTGCAGGCCGTCAACGTCCTGCACTCCGACTTTGCCCAGCTGCCTATGCTCTACGAGATGACAGTCAGGTGAGCTCCTGTACCCCCACCCACCCCCCAGCATCTTTGCCACAGTCCTCATCGTTCGGTGGTGACTGTGGTTGGTCCCTTTGGAGGCCACCCTCCCACGCATGCGTGGATCAGGTCTTCCTGAGTGTTCCCTGATCCGAATATGCAGGTCACAACAGTAACAAAAACCCAAGTCCTCACTGTCAGAGGGCACGGGGCTGCGCCATTCCTGAGGATGGGCCAGACAGCACTGCAGGCCCCCAGTTACAAACAAAAACAAAGTCCCTGCAGAGATCTCAGAAGCAGACATTTCTCCGGTGCCCAGCAGCACCGGGGCCAGCCGGGGTCTCCGTTTGCTCTGGGGCCCTGTGTCTTGGTTCTCATCCTCCATGGCTGAGGCAGACGGCCCAGGCTCCATTTCCTTCCCTGTTGTCACACTACCTCGTCTCCCAGGTGTCTGGTGCGGCCTGTGCGCCATCCCCGGAACTGGGCGATAAAACAAGCTGCGCCCCTTCCTTCTCTCCATGCTTTCTGAAGCCGGTCATGTTAGAGGGGTTTGACCGCAGGCCTCCATGGCTGAGCTGCATGCTCCCTCCCCCTTGGCCTCACCAGTTGTGGGGAGACCGTGGGTGGGGGCTCAGTGGGAGCACACAGAGCCTTGGTGAAACCCACTGACGCCAGCTGTCTGCCCCCGGTGTCATCTGTTGCCGATAGCGCAGCCCGGGTGTGACTCACATCTGCAGCCCGCCGCTCTGGGGCCCGGGTGTGCTGGGTGTGTGGCTGTTGAGTGGGAGGCGGCAGCAAGGGAGCGTTGACATCTGCCCCGCTTCACCTTTGTAGAGCCGAGAGGGTTCAGTGTGGGGCGGAGCCCAAGGCTCCATGGTACATGCTAAGGTGTGTACACAGACTCTGTGGACACTGGGGTAAAGCCAGGGGCTCCCTGCTTGCTTGCCAGCAGGAGAGCTGGCGTTGCCACACAGGTTTCCCACCAGGCCAGAGCCTGGAGGTTCCTCCCCGTCCAGCAGGAGACAGCTGAGGGAAGGAGCCTAGGCAGCCTCCCACTCAAGTGTTGCATTCTAGAGTCAGGGAAATTGAGGCTTGTGAGGCTGAAGCCTCAAGACAGGAAGACGGGGAAGCAGAGGTGACCGGGTGGGTCCGTCAACAGGTGAGAGCCTTTCCGGTCCTGTTCCCAGAAGCTCTCTCAGCACGGAGAGGAGTCGGTGCGGGCTGTCCTGAAAATGCGGGAGCAGCATAGTGGGTACCGGTTGCGGGTCTTTTTACAGTGTGTGTGGTGCGATGTGATCTCATGTGACATGTATAACTCTCTGTGATATGCATGTCTCTGTATGTAATGTGCATGTGTCTGTGTGTGTACGTGTGTGTGTGTTGCATCTCTGTGTGTGGTATGTGTGCATGTGTGTGTCGTATGTGTGTATGCATGTCTGTGTGTGTGCGTATGTTCACATGTGCACCATACTGTACATGTGGAGGTCAGAGGACAACCTGCAGGGGTTGGCGATCTCCTTCCACCCTGTGGGTTCCAGGATGGAACTGAGGTTGTCAGGTATCCCTCTGACCCTGTGAGTTGCATTTTTAAGGAGTTCTCATGAATATTCATGAGATGGGTGGCATATCCTTGGGGTAAAGTAACCCTTTTCCTTCCCAGATTTCCCCATTAGGGTATTCACTCCCAGGTTTGGGGGTGGGGGAAGGGCACGGGAGCCTGGGGGATTAAATCTGCAATGATGTGAATGATGCTGGTGTGGGCGAATGTGTGGGGGGGTGTGGCTTCAGGGATGCGGGACATGGCATGCTGTCAGGAGCTCGGCTACCAAGATGCAGCTGTGGTTTCCTTGGCTACCCCACACCCACCTTCTCCAATACCCATGCAGGTCCTCCTGTGCCATTCCTTCCCTGTGGGGATGGCCATCCCAGTCCTGTCACCTCACAGGCATCAGAGTAGAGCGTGTCAGCCACCCTCCTAAGCCCAGGCTCCTTGGCTGGTGGGTGAGGGACATGAGCCGGGTTTGATCTGCTGTGCTGCTGCGGTGTAGACAGCAACCTCAGTGTGCATTTGCTCAGTGACTCCAGACCCTGGCTTCAGCCTCCTCAGGCCACCATGCATCATCCCACCCCCCAGTGAGCTGGAAGAGAGAACAGTTGTTAGCTGGCCTGCAGCAGGCATTAGGGGTGCTGGGGCGGCCAGCCAGCACTCACACTGGCACCCCTGAGCTGTCGTCCTTTCCTCCGCAACAGGAACGCCTCCACAGCTGTGTATGCCTGCTGCAACCCCGCCCAGGAGACCTACTTCCAGCAGCTGGCACCCACCGCCCGCAGCTCCGGCTTCCCGAACCCTCAGGATTGTGCCTTCGGCCTCGCTGGCAAAGCCAAGAGGAAGCTGCTGAAGCATGGGGTGAACCTGCTGTGAGCCATGCGCAGCCGCGTGCCACCTGGGCCACGCAGAAGCCCCTCCTGACCGTCCCCAAGCTGAGGGTTGAGAAGGACCTTGCTCTTCCGTGGCAGCTGCAGGAGAGGGCTCAGGTTCTGTCAGGTGTAAGTGACTCGAATGAGGTACAGAACAGGGTCCAGGCTCAAGGATGTAGCCATAGGAGTCTCAGCTGACAGTTTACTCAAGATACCCATGGTGCTTTGCAACCTTGTGATGCTGAGTTTCAGGTCTACGAAACAAATCCCCAAGGGCTGAGAAATAAAATGACAAACTGAGTTCTGTGTAATCAGTTAGCATTTCTGTGACAGAGTGAAGGTGACTGACAGCACCAACCTCACCGGCCTGCTGTGCAGGGAGTCTCTGAGCCGTGTTGTTGGGTCCTCGTGGTGACAATGCATGATTTCCTTTCCCATCTGTCTTTGGGCTCATGGGTACAGAACCCATGGATCTGGAGGGCTGGCTGAATGTTTTTCCCATGGACTCTATACACCAGTGTGCTGTCCGCAGGGATCATAAGCCACCGAGATCGCAGTCCCCTCCTTTCCCTGAGGCCCCTCCAGCCGCTGACTGACCTCCCTGCCAGGAGGGCCCCACTGTCATCCAGAGACAGGCGTACTGACCTGCGTCCCTGAACGGTTCTGGAAAGAAACACATTCCAAGTCCATCGCCAGCTCTCAACTGTGAATATACAGTTTGTCTTACAGCCGGGGGTGGGGGGTGGGGTGCTCGGCACAGCGCACCCCCATTTCTGCCAAACTGGTACTCAAGACCTAAGTCCTGGCCCTAACCTCAGAGAGAAGGCAGCCTGCTAACGGCCTGTGTCTGAGGACCCTTCTAGAAAGTTATTTCAAGGAATGTCGCTGACCTCCCTTAGTCCTTGTGTGACACGGAGCTGTCTGCAGACCATAGCTTCTCCCGTCCACCTTGGAAGGCTGCTTGAGCCCGGCATTGCTTTGCACTGAAAACACACTCGTTCTAAGAACCAGTGCTGTGGGCAGCCGTGGGTCTCCCCATTAAGCTTACCCCACAGCACAGTTGTAACCAAAGGTGGCATGAGAACTATTGGGGACCTTTAACAGTATCCCCAGAGGTTCTTCTATAAATCAGGAACATGTTCCGTCGTGAGCACGGGCATAGCATGTGGTTAGTTTTGTGTGTGTGTGTGTGTGTGTGTGTGTGTGTGTGTGTGATATGCTGTGTGGCACTTGTGTGTGGAGGGATTCAGAGGAGGACATGGGGTGTCCTGTCATTTGATACAGGCCCTCTCACCAAATTAGCTAACTCCTCCTCCCCTCTGTGCTGGGGTTGCAGGCCTGTGCAGGCCCCACTCAGCCCTCTGAGGGTCCGAACCGGGGTCTGCATGCTTGTGCAATAAGCTTTCTCTTGCCCACTGAGCCATCTGATTATCCACACATGTAACCCCAGCTCTGAGGTGGGGGGGAGACCCCAAAGTTCAGGGCCACCCGCCGTGATTCTTACTGAGTCCCTACCTGAAAATGAGAAAGGACTGAGGGCTTAGAGACTTAGCTAAGGTGCTTCCTGGCATGAGGGTCCGGTTTTGTATTTCCCATTTGAGAACCTGCCACTTCTGCCACCAGGAATCTTGGGAGCCCTATCGCATGGGATCCATAGAACCCCTTGCATCTCATCGGAGGGTGAACTCGGGAACTCAGGCCCCGAAACACTGCAGGCAACCCTTGCTTCGATTTCTCCATCCACCAAGCCAGTTCAGACTGCAGGACTTACGCTGAGCTGCCCGTGGGCCTCCGTGCTTTCTGTCTGCTCTGCCAATGGAGGGTCAGCTGAGACCCCAGCTGCAGCCTCTGTAGCTGGTGACTGGGCCCAGAGGACGCTGGGAAAGAACAGCCACTCCCAACTTCCCACTCCAGTGTCCTAGGCACCTGGCCTCTAGGACAGTCTGTGCAGAGGCCCCAAGCCAACACCCTCCAAATTACCCTCTACAGGTGGTATGTCCTCACAGCAGAGGCCATGGCAGACTTCCATTGTATTGGATGGGCACCAGGCCCTCCATGGCAGCTTGGGGGAGGCAATATCTGCCAGTGAGTTCTATCCGCAGCTTCACAGTCGACACCCAAGTGTCACTGCAGGTCTGGACAAAAGACCACACGCAGCACACACACAGGAAGAAAGTATCAAATCTGTCAGGGTCACAACCTGCCCCTCCATGAACTGTGGGACCCGTGCTCCCAGGAGGGCAAAGACCAGGACCCCTCGGAAAACACTGAGTGCATCCATTCACGCCACGTCCACGCGACAGTCGTGGCCGGTGGAGTCCGGGTGCTGTGCTGGAGTTGCCCACTCCGGTGGTCACTGCTGTGTTCAGCCCCTGGGCGGCCCCTTCCAGGTGGCTCAGTCACTCACGCTTCTCATCCCATCAGCAGCCAGCACGCCTGACAGCCCCACCGTGTCCCCATCCTTGACTCAGTGGCTGCTGCACGTAGAAACAGTCCCTTGTAGTCTGCATGACGTCCGGCCAAGCCCTGAGTGCCATCCGTGGTGCTTCTGAGAAAAGGCTGAGGGAACGGAGCGGGGCTGTATGGACAGGGAGGCTGACCGGGAAGTAGTGAGGGCATCTGCATGAGATGCTGCGCAGGGGCCTGGACGGACTCCTGCCCTCCAGAGCTGCAAAGCGGAATCCTAGACAGTCATTCCCGACAGCCACTGCCAGGGTTCTATCAAGTCCATGTGTCTGCCAACGGAACTCTCCAGTGTGTCGTGGGGGCTTGTGGGAGAGGCAGACCCCCGTGAGGTCGCTGAACTGCTCCCAGGGGCCTCTGAGCGTGAGAGCATACCTGTCCTTGGCTGGAAGGCCGGGTAGGAAGCAGGAGAGCGGTGGTGGTGGCTTCTAGAAGGCTGTGGCCGTCCCTGGGAGGGCTTGCAGCCTGCAGCCCAGAGAGGGAGGGCAGTCAGCGGATGGACCTGGCAGTAGACAAGGGGGCGAGTCTACTTGATGGATGAGCAGTATTCACCGTCCGGAGGGAGATGCAGTGCGGGGGAGTCGTGCACTGGGGTCCTCAGTCTGCATCTGCCCCCTGCCCAGTGCACACAGCTGCTCGCAGCCCTCAGCCGCTGCCTTCCGAGAGGAGACTGGCAGGTGGGGGGGGGGCACCTGCCACCAGCCCGCTCTGTGAGGGGGAACCGCCCTGCCTTCTTCCTGGGCGGCTCTGAACCTGGCAGGAGCCCAGAGCCTGCTTCAGAATTGCCGAGTGGAAGTCCCTCTCCTCCTCTGTCCCACCTTCCTGCAGCCAGGCCCAGCGTGCCACGCGCACACGCACACGGCTTGGGGCTCTGGCCAGAGGCCTGCGGAGGCGGTCGGCAGCACCACACTCATGTCCCTCCCCAGCTGCCGAACTGACGCCAGCTTCGGTGGCTTCTGGGATCCCATTGCAGCACCTACCACCGGGGCAGTGAGTGGCTGTAGTGTCATGTGTCCCCCCCACCCCTACCCCACTCCCCTGCTCAACTTGCTCAGTGTCTTGTTAAAGCCCAGAGGATGCTGGTCCTCCCAGGGCCGAGGGCAAGGCATTCTTCGAGGGTCCAGGACCTCAGCACCAAGGCGGGGTCTGGGTGCATGTCTACACCTCAGGAGATCTGCAGTGTACAGGCTTCGGCAGGACACCCAGATCTGCACACTAGGGTCCCTGTGGTGTAGCTGTCCTCACACCCTAAGCTGCCTCTGGGTGATGATGACTACAGCGGAGAACTATTCAAGTCTTTGCTGAGGACAAATGACAGAGGATGGGTGCCCCCAGCATAGCTGGGGAGGAACCTGGGACCTCACTCATGCTAGCGTCTACCACTGAGCTCCATCCCTTCTTGTGTTTTTCTAAACTGTGTTTGCACTCTGGTGGAGTGGCTCAGTGGCAGAGCACCTGCCTAGATTCCCCCAGTAGAGGACAGGAGGTGGCTGAGGGGTAGAGTGACTGCCTAGGATTTTATCAAGGGGACAAAACTCAACAGTAGCATTTGCCCAGTGTGCAGCAGCTCTGGGTACCATCCCCAACAGTGCATTGAGCCAACCAAACCCCCCCCAAACACTTTCACCTTTAACTTGGGAAGTGGGGTTAGGGAGGAAGGCAGAAGGGAGGTGACCAGAAGTCACCTGGGAAGGCAGCGGGAAGTGATCAGTCCAGTGTGTGCACCTCCTGCCACCTAGCACTGCAATCTGCTTGAGTGTGTCCATGGCCATCTGTCAGCAGCTCTAACGAACGTGACCTCATTCTGTCCTGTTCCCCGTGTTTACAGCTGGTTAGCAGCAGTTGGCTAGGGAGGTAAATGTCAGGGAAGGCTGCTGGAGGTGGTGCCTGCAGTGCGGTGGGGATCCTTAGACAAGCATTGGCCGCTAGCCTACACGCATTAACGTGCATGTGTGCACCGGCACTGGCCCTCACATTTGACATCATACTGCCTGATGGAAAAGTCAGGTTAAGCTTAGAGGCAAGCATGAGACCCATCCAGAGACTGAGTGGGCTGGGACTTGTTGGAGGCATAGGACAGAAAGCACAACTCACACTTGGCTCAAGAATCGGTGCGTTTTCTCTGCTCATGGAACCTAACAATCAACAGGCAGGTTTGGCTCCAGGCAAAGTTGCGCCGAGGACGCAGACACACTCCACAAGCGGGGACAGCTAGTCCCCTGTAGTTCACAGGCTTTCTCTTTCTCAGTGGTCCCAGAATTAAGAACTCGGGTCATGTGCCCAAACCTGAACAAACAGGACTTCAGGAGGCTGTGGGTCAGGGGTCCAGCCTTCAAGCTGAGATTTGCCAGACCTGAGACTCATGGGCTGAGTGTGTGTGGGGTGTTACAGTTTAGTGTGGGACTCAGTGGTAGGGTGTCTGTCAAGACCCCAGTTCCCTCCCGGGCACAGAAACAAACAAACAAAACCCAGTGCCCAGGATTCTGTCTCCAAGAACTGCAAACTGGTTGTTCTAGGGACCAGCATCACACAGAGCATGGCTCAGACCTACCTTCCTGCTGACTGTCTCTAAGACCTCACAGGGCAGTGACCCCCCAACCCAGGCCATTCAAACCACAACAGTAATGAGTTCTAAACTACAGATGGGTCTGCATTCCAGCCCGGAACAGAGAAGGTAGCTGCTGTGGAGTAGGGGCTTGGGGGGGGCATCGAAGACCTGCCTCTGCAATCAAGCGTCCAGTTGTCACCAAAGACAATCCACGCAACCCAGGAGAGGTGATGGTCAGGAAAGGGGTTTAGGGTCTAACCTTACGCTGATCAAGTAACTGGTGTGGCCCTGGCTTGGAGAGGTATGAAGAGCTGTAAAGAGGGGAAAGCTGGGTCCCTCCTGTAGCGGGCCCTGGCTTGCTCCCATTTCTCATCACCAGCGGTCCTAGCGACACACAGAAATGACCTCAGCAACTGCTTAGTTGGTGGTGCATGGGGAGGAGGGTGAGAAACGTCTTGGCCCTGGAGAACATCGCTCTTCCTTTCCCGGTGCAGCAGCTCCATGGGGGTGTTGGCTGGTGCCAGGCATGTGTGCCGACACTCCACGGTCAGGCTGACCCCAGGGCGCCTGGCTGCCACCACTGTGCCCTCTTAGCAGGGGAAATGGGCCACCCTCCTCTGGCCCTGCCTCTCAGGCATCTGTGGCTTTGCTTTGCAGAGGGATCCCATGCACCGGTTTGTTCTGTGACAGGTCCTATCTTCAGGGGAACCAAATGAGCCTGGGAGAGGGGACTTAGCTTTCTAGAAGCGGCAGGGAGTAAACTCCAGCTGCTGAGCCCAGCAAAACGTGAGCATTACAAATTCTTATGATATTAATGTCGCCCATTTTACCATTCGAGCAGGCTTACCATTGCCTGGTTCCTGTTCCCGCCGTCACTCACTTGCTGCACATAGTGCAGATGGAACCCGGGGTCTCATGCATGCCAAGCCAGTGCTCTACCCTGAGCCACACCCTAGTACTTTCTGTTGAGATGGCCATTGGCCTCACCCACTGTTGACCGTGGCCTCAGCCACTGGTGCCGATTCAGAAACCCAGGACCACACTCCCACACCAGCCCGTCACCGCTGGCTGCCCAGCCCCCGCCTTCTCGCACAAGCTACGTGACCATGTCGCTTGTCAGCAGGCTCTTTATTTACTTCCCATTCCCCAGCCATGTCCGTGGTGTGTGGTGGGGGCAGTTGGGACATGTGGGGATTGTTTTTGGAGGTATCTGCCGAGACCCCGAGTGCAGAGGCTCTGAAGCCTGATGGTTCCCTTCCTAACTCTGAGCACAGGCATGGTGTAGGTGTGTTTCCTTCCATGGTGGACAGACTTGATCAAATTACCTTCTAGAGGTGTCTGGTTTGCATCTGAACCTAATGCTGGATCTGGACCAGTGTTATGTAAGGCGAGCTGTCCATTCTATCCTGCTGTGGACAATGCCCATGGGCCACTACTCTGAGAGTGTCCTGAGAACAGCTGGCTGACTACAATCTCACATTAGCTGGGTCTGTGGCCAGCTGGGCCCCTGGCTAGCCTTCACTTTGGGAAGAGAACTGTGTGTTTTCTCTGGAGATCAAAGACAATGCCATGTCTGTGGATTCCTGGGGGGTCTGTGGCTCTCTTCGGTGTCCCCATGACCGTGGGCTTGAGTCATTGTTTTGACCGACGTGGGGCTGACTCTCTGCTGCCTCTGAGTCTAGCAACCTGAATGTTTACATACAGATAAATAAAGTTCAACAGATTCCAAAGTGTGATGGACCGCCTTGTCACATGGTTGGCGGCAGAGGTTCAGCCCAGCACGGTTCCTGCCAATCTCGGTGGATTCAAAACCATAGCAGCAGCGTGTGTCAGTCCTGGCTTGGCAGTAGGCTTCGGTAGGCAGTGAGCTAAGGATATCCCTGTTCTATGCTGACCTGGGAGCCCTCACTGGCTCTGTCGGAAGCTGTGGTTAAAGCAAAGGCCCTGGTCAAACCACCAGGACTCCGACAGACTTTGGGTGACAGCAATAATGACGGATTCCCCGGTCCCTAACCCACACGCCACCCTCATGGTGTTTGGTAAGCCCCTAATGAAGCCAATCAGGTGGGCAGGCTGCAGGCTGTCTCTTGCTCTGGGACAGTGAAGGTCCTTCCAACCCCAGCATCAAAGGCCAAGCTGTGGGGCCCAATGGCTTGTGGTCTGTGGTGTTTCCTTTTTATCTCTTGAAACAGCTATGAAGTTTGAGATGATTACATTCACACAAATGGCCATTTGGTTACTCTATTCCAGAACATGGAGGAGACACCAGGTAGCAAAGTCACAGACTTGAGGGGCACAGAGTCTCTTGTCACAGCCAAAGGGACACACTAGCAGGCCAGAAGTCCCAGCAAAAAACTGGAAGGGAAAGAAACCTAGGGCGTCCCCAGTAACCGAAGGAAAGAGGGCCCCACAGTAACAGGAGACCACCAGAGCTTCCGGTGTGGATCAGGGTGGGGACTGGGCTGTCCCACAGTCCACCTGGGCCCCCACTCAGCCTGGCTCCAGCCCAGGCAACGTCCTCATCGTCCCGGAGCAAAGATGAAATCCAGGGCCTGCCGTTCGGCAGCTGCCACGTTGGGGTGCCAGAGATCCACCATGAACACCACCCGTGGGCCATCCTCAGCGGAACCTGGGGAGGAGGAAGGAAAGGGGGTCAGGGTGGCCCCGGCACACTCAGTGTGGCCTGAGCTGAGGGCCAGGGGGTGTGGGAAGACCTCCCCCTCCCAGATGGGGAAACGTCTGTGAGGTCTCTCTCGTGCCTGCAAGGAAGGCAGACGAAAGAGAAAAAGGCAGGGAAACCAGGCAGGGCAGTGGGATTATTGTCACTGTGGCCGCCGTCTGCATGATGTTGTCCCCACCCACAGAAGTCTGATACAGAGGGTGAACGGGATGTGAGGACAGCCTTTAGTTGGTGGCAGTTGGGTGACATTGGCTCAGCACCCATAATACCCATGTGGGGAGACTGCAGGGGGGGGGCTTAGGGACTCCCGATCAGTTTTGTCTTGGTACCTGAAAACTTCTCTTTAGGAAATTCTAATAACCATAAAGCAAGCAGGTGGGCAAGCTCTGGGAGAGGCAACGCCCACCTTCATGGAATACAGTGTGCAGGAAGGAGTCGTCGAAGAGCAGGCAGCGACCTTCTGCCCAGCACTGGGGCTCACCCCCCACCACCAGCTCACAGCCACTGGGAGTCTTCAGACCTTCAGGGAAAACATAGGATTGAGAGTGAAGACAGCCAGGGTTCAAGGCCGCTAGAGGTGGAGCCGGGCTGCTCCGGGGAGCGTTCGAAAGCTTCAAATCTTCCACACACTCCCCTGGATCTACACCTTGGGCTGTCTGAGACCCATAATTCAAAGGCTGAGGCCATCCCGAGATGATGGTGTTAGGGATCCCTGGGGACTAGGTCGTGGATGGGAACTATACTTATAAAACGGACGTTTCTACCACATGAGGTCACACCCACTGTGCTGGCGAGTCTTACTGTACGCTTGGCACACAAAGCAGAGTCATTTGAAAGGAGGGAGCCTCTGTAAGATCTGACTGCAAGACATTTTCTTAATTAGTGATTGATGGGGAAGGGCCCAGCCCACTGTGGATGGGGTCATCCCTGGGCCGCTGGTCCTGGGTTCTCTAAGAAAGCAGGCTGAGCAAGCCATGAGGAGCAAGCCAGTGAGCAGCACCCTCCATGGCCTCTGCTTCAGCTCCTGCCTCCAGGTTCCTGCCCAGCTTGAGTTCCTGTCCTGGCTTCCTTCAGTGATGGACTACGATGTGGAAGCATAAGCCAGATAAATCCTTTCCTCCCCAGTTTGCTTTTGGTCATGGTGTTTCATCACAGCAAATAGGAAACCGACTAAGACACCCACCCGGCCATCAGAGCAGCCTTGACCTCACAGAGCTCCACCCTGGACCTCCAGCCTCAGAACAACGAGGAGTACACCTCTGGGCTGTTGTTTGTTCAGACAGGGTCTCACTGTGTCGCCCGGGCAGGCCTTGAACTCACAATTCTCCTACCACCGCCACCCAGCTGTTTCTGTTCTTCTTAAATTTGTGTGGGGTGTGCCTGACACCGACGTGTGTATGAGCATTAGAGGACGACTTTTGGGGGACGGTTCTGTCTTTCCATTGTGGGTTCCAGGAATCAAACTCAGGCCATCAGGCTTGTAAGGCAAGTGCCTTCACCCACTCCCAACGAGCCATATCCCCAGCCCTTTTCTGTTGTCTGAAAGACACTCAGCATGTGGAATTGTACTCACAGCCCAACTGTCAGCCTTTCTAGGGACAGGGGACTGGCGAGACAGTCAGTGCTGGCTGCCACCCAGGTCCTCAGCAAAACTCCCTCTTTGCCTGTTTCATCCGGCCTGGGTCTTAGACTCTTTTGCTTATGTCAGTAGCTCCTCTTGGGGTCCTCATGACCCCAAGAACTCTTGATGTCTAGCCCTGGGACCCGTGGGAATCCAGGTCTGCTGGGTGCAAACCGGCTCCACCCATACACCGCCAGCCTACAGCGGGACCCACTTCAACAGACCATCTCCTGACGCATCCAGGGATATCAAGGACCCATTCATTCCTGCAAGTCACTCGCTGCCCCGAGAAGAGGCTGAGCGCAAGGACAAGGTGTGCGCATCCTACGCGTGTCTGCGCCCACGACATGTACCATCCGGGCGGGTCAGACATTGGCATGGGAATCCGAACCTACAAGTCCTTCTCCCAGCCTGTCTACTCAGCACCCCTGGATCCCTACCACATCAGTCTTCGAGGCCTTCCCCTACTCTGCATGCCAAAGCGTTTGAACAGCACGGCAGGTAGCAGAGGACGCACTTTACTGGTTCGGCACTTTCCCAGCATGCGTGAGACTCAGGTTCATCCCAGCACTGTGTAAATCAAAAAGCGCCCACAAAGCAAGACCTTTCAAAAGAAAACCTCCGCTCTCATTGCCAACAGCCCTGAGCCCCAGCCTGGCCCAGCCTGACCCAAGTCTGCCATCTGCTCCCGCTCTGGTCTACCCCACCTCAGCCTTCCAGCTCTGTTTGCAGCCCAGATCCCTGCATGGACCCTTGCCAGAGGTTTATTAACCAAAGCCATCGTGTGGATCAAAGCCTACCTGGTAATAGTGATGGCCTCCGCCTGCCAAGAACTTCAAATGCACAAACTACTTACTTTTCCTCAAATAACCATGAAGGCAGAGTCGAGCGCACACCGCCACCCTGTTTCAAAGTGGAAGCTTAGCTTCCAGGCCCTGACAGCTGGGCATTAGTAGGGCCAGAGCCCTGAGGTTCACTGTCTCCTGGGGAAGAGGTCGTGCCTTTACAGAGCATCGTGTAGTCATAAGAGCCACCGCCACCGCTCCGGAGAGGCTGCCAGGCACTATGCCAAATGGCCACTTAGTGAGTTGTGTCCCCAACCTTCTCCACAACACCAGTGCTGTGTGTCCACTTTGCAGAGAGGCAATGAGGTCTATGGAGACTCGAACTCTGCCCAGCCCCACAGCTGCCCATGGATCCAGAATCCGGCTTCAAGTTTCTGCCCTGTCCGGTCTGCCTGTCAAATCCCCATCCACAGCAGCCCTCTGATGATATTCCTTCTGCTTCTCAGCACAGATATCTTCAGTCCAAACGGTACCTTACCCAGACTCCTCACCCAGAGAGCAGAGGGAACAGAGCTGCTGGGGTGACAGTGTGTGTGCGTGGGGGGGGGGCTAGCCTGCAAAGTGCAGGCTCCCTGCAAAGTGCACTAGGGAACCCCACCCCAGCCCGCTCAGGACAATCACCCACGGCTTCCTCACCTCCTGCAGCTGGCCAGCATCGCCTCTTACAGCTGCCACCTAGCTCAGCGCGCTCTGCTCTATCACGTTCGCCAGCAAGGCCATGGCCTCTGTCTCCAGCCTTCTGTCACCGCTCACCAGGAAGAAGGCACCTCCTTGTGTCGTCTGTCTCATGCACCTAGCTCTGGTGACCGCCCTGAGGCACACCGCATCTGATCGGATCCCCGAGGGAGAACAGCTGCCTCACTTACTACGGAAGCCCAAAGGAGGGAAGCAGCCTGCCCAAGGTAGCACAGCTCACTCACGGTTGGGCTAGATAATAAAGCAGCTTAACTCGACACTCAGTTTGCACGCCGTGCACACTGTACACAAGACTCCTAGACTCTGAATAGAGTGACCAGAACACCATTGATCCTCGGTGGCTCAGAATGTATAAACATCTCTCACAGCCTTCCCGTTACCACCGGGACCTCTGTCATGGCCAGAATCCCCGTGGGTTCCGTATCAGCCACCACAGGAGCACAGCAGCCGCCAGCCATACCCGGTGTGCAAACTTCGGTGAAAACTTGAGGTCGGCTGTTCCACCAACCACAGCCCGAGCCACATGTGGCCAGCCTGTGAGCTCACACAATGGACAGGAAGGATGGAGGCCACGGTCACCACCCTCCCTCCAGAGTTCTTTCAGACAGAGCTGTTCCTGCCAGGTGCTAGATCTAGGTTGGTGCGTGGCCCGGTGTGGCAGAGAGCATGTGTGAGTGCCCAGGTTCCATCTCCAGCACCACGGGAAAATGCACCAGAGGAGTTTGAGAGGAGAAAAAGAAACAAGGTTCATTCTGCCATCCTGGTTGTTTATAGGCCCACCACCACGGGAAACTTTTCTGAGGCTGGGGATACGGCTCAAGTTTTATAAAGCGCTTGTAGCACACAACCATGAGGGCCTGAGTTGGAACTTCAGCATGAGAAGCGGCTAGGCACTGCAGCAGACACGTGAGGTCACAGGGCGGGGAAATCAGAGACAGGGAGGGAGGCAGGACCCCCACCCCTGTGCCGGGGCTGGGGGGGAGCTTGAGGCCAGCTCGCCTAACCTAGCCAGTGAGCCCCAAGTCCCACAGAGATCCTGTAAAAACAAGGTAGACAGCTCCTGAGAGACAAGACTCAGTGCTGACCCCTGGCCTCAGCACACGCATGCGTAGGGGTGCACACATACAGTGCACGCTAGCCCTTCCGCCTCAGCCTCTTGAGTGCTTGGACTGCAGGTGTGTGCACCCCTGATCAAAGCGCTCAAGAGGCGCAGGCACCTTGCCACGCGAGGCTTCCGTGAATGTGCACGTCGGGGCCTGGGCCCCCTCCACGTACCTAGGTGGCATCGGATGCGGATGTTGGTGGGTCCGTAGTGCTCCGTGATCACAGTCCCAGGGCTCAGCACCGAGATGCAGGCGTTCCCGAAAACATTGTTTCCAATACAGGTCCGGAGGCTGCCGAGCAAGCGGTACGTCCGTGGACACTTCCTGCAGTTCCTGGGGACGCAAACGCCCTGGCTGACAAAATCAAAGGTGAACCACTCCCCGCTGGGGGTGCTGTTCACTTTCCACCCCTGCGGGAGGCTGCAGTTAGAGAAAGCCTTGTAGAGGGTCTCGAACTCGCAGAGGATGGCCTGGAAGTTCCGCTCCAACAGCTCCACGTCGTGCTTCTGGGCGTCCCGGGAGAAGTAGGGTGTAGTGGGGAGGTCCGGCAGGAAGAAGACCTCAGGCTTCTGGATGGAGGGCTGGCTGCTGAGGTAGCGGCCCTGCTCCCGGATGGCCTTGTGGATGCGGCCCATGCCGGACCACGAGTACCGCTTGGCGTACTCCTGCAGGTTGTGGTAAAGCTTCTGGTTGAGGCCGTCGTGGTGCATGCAGCGTACACACTCTGGCGACCGGCAGTACGCGGACCCGTTCTGTAGCCCGTTGGCATCCACTCCCTGCAGGAGGGAGTTGACGGACACGTGGGGTCGAGGCTGCTCGCGGCCCACGTGGTAACAGTACCACACAAACATAACCAGCAGGCAGGCCACAGTGACGACGGCCGAGCCGTCGCAGTCCCTCACAGACTGGATGCCAGTGGCGATGCAGTCCCTCAGGCCATCCAGAGACCAGCTCCAGGCCACCAGCCACTCCAGCCACATCTTGAGGGACTCGGGACGTGGAGTGAAGAAGCTGGCTCAGATGGTCAGTCCTCGGGGGGTTGCCGGGGCACCCACAATACGCAGGCTAGCCGAGAGGAGCTGCTGGAGCAGGGGGAGGCATGGCTTCCACTGTCCCTCAGTTCCTGCCAAGGGCGCCATTGATGAACGGCGAGGCCCGCCCATGGGGGCCCAACAGTAAAAGTCACTGAAGTGGGGTGCAGGGGGCTGCCGTATGTCCCGTTAGCAAACGCGGTCAGTCACTGCCAAAGGGTTTTCATGATGTCCAGACCTGGGATGGAAACCAGAGAACAGCAGCATGAAGCTGTGACTAGAAAAGTCTCAGTCACGGGAGAATGGGAATGTGGCACCACATGTGGCAGCAGGGGGCTGTCACAGGGCACGCTGTCCCTTCTCCTCTCAAGAAGGCTGTAAATCAGGATGATACCCGGGAACTGGGTGCCCTGGAGTGGCCTCTATGGCATGCACAACTTTCTGCTGCTCAGCTGGGAGGTGACCCAATGGCCTCGCTCACAGGGGCAGCAGAAGCTTTCCAAGTCCCTGCCTCGGTTTCTCCACCTATGACAGCAGTGGCTCTACTTTGCCGACCGTCCTACTTTGGGGACGCTTGAGGCCAACTGTGTCCCCCCCAAGTCTCTGGAACCGAGGGTGCACCCCGGTTTCTCAGAAACGCTCTGTCCGCCCGTCCTTTTCCGGGGAGGTGCAAACCGCCAGGTCTTCGTCCTCCGGAAAGCCCTCCATCACCTGGAGCATTTCAGGGCTTCCCCCTTCCTCGCCTGGGGGAGAATGGAGGACAATGACAGCAAAAACTGTGTCTCCTGCTGCCTGGATTGGGAAGTCTGCAGCACTGCAGAGAAGTTACACACCTGAACTAGACGTGGACCTGACTGAGGGTGGGCCCCCGCCGTATGCAGGACAGACATTTTCCTCTCTGAGCCTCGTCGTCTTCATCTATCCGCTAGCTGGGGATAATGTCACAGTAAGATTGTTGGGCAAACCAAACACAGGCGGTGTCCCAAGGCTCCCACCCCAAGCAGAAGGCGGAGGCTCAGACACCCCGACTCAGGGTGATGTCCACTCCTGGACGCAAGGAAAACCTTTGTTGCTCGGCCACCACCTACTGGCATCATCCCCGTGCCAGCTGAATAAAGAATCACTTGACTATAATGCTTGGGAAATCAAAAGCACACACGCTGAATATTCATGGGGCCCCATGCTTCTAGGAAAAGTACAGGGATGGGGAGAAGAGAAGCCAGTTTCGCCTCAAGATGCGGCGCCCGGGTGTTAAGCGCCTTCACCCGCCCCTCCTCCATGGGTGATACCATCACCCAGTTGTTTCCACTTTAGGAAAAGGGAAAAAGCCCCAGAAAGGCGTCTTCTTTGCACTTGCTCTTCAAGACAGCCAGGGTTCCTGAAATTCTGTGTGAGACACTCACCCAGGTGAGGAAACACGTTTTCCTCCCCAAAACGCAACCCTTAAAACTGCCTTCGGCAGCCAGGTTTCCTTGGGTGCCTTGGAGTTGGTGGCCCTCAAAACTGAGCTCATACCAACCTGCTCACATCAAAATGCGCGCGCACACGCGCGCGCGCGCGCACACACACACACACACACACACACACACATACCTACACCTGGGTAGGTGGCTAGGAGAGGTCTCCATGGGCCACCAGCCCTTCCCCTTCTCAGAACAGCTTCATTCTGGAAAGAGCAGACAAGAGCCCTCCCCAAGGCAGGACAGTAAAAGATAAAGCAAGGAGAGAGACCCTAACCTCTTCACAAGATCAAATCCAGCACCAAGAGAGGGAACTGGAAGCTGCTAGTCACTCAGAGCCCCAAGAGGCTGGCTGCCCCCACATCCAGGGAGGAATGTGCAAGCCCAGAGCCGACCTGTGACAAGAAAACAACTCTGGTTTGGGCAGAGTGAGTGGCAGCAGGGGGGATGGATGGATGGATGCACACTTCTGGCTCTCTCCACACAGCCATTCCCATCAGGGATGGGCACCATGCAGTCCGGCATCTCAGATCTCAAAGATCACCAGCTCTGGGGAATAAAAGGCCAAATCCAAGTCCGATCAAAGATAACTTCCAACACGAGGAATGCTGGGGGAGACAGTCTCCATTTGACCTAGTTAACCTGGATCAGATGACCAGCTCAGGAGGCTCTCTGATGCTAAAGAGCCCGGGTCACCCTGAGGTGAAGCCAGGAGACCCCTGAAGCTCTCCTGCAAGGCTCAGCACAGCACACGAAAGGATAGGGGTGGCTGTGTGATGCTTGTTATCTTCTCTACCCCGAAACCCGAGAGCAGTCCTGAGACCTTCCATCCTCAGTCTCCCGCCAGGGTCACAGGCCTTGGAGAGAGTACGACAGGAGCGAGGTCAGAAAGATGCCTTAACGCAGGTGGTGATGCCAGTAGTCAGGGGATGAGATGCTGAGGTGAGGGCCACCTGGAAAAGTGGGGAAGAGGTTCGGGGGCGCGTGACAATTCATGGGACAACGCGGTGGGTCCAAGTGGGTGATGCTGAGGAGGAATGGGGGACCAGGAGAAAAAGGCGATGGAGGAGGGAGGACTGGGGAGGAGGGGGAGGAGGAGAAGAGGCGGGGGTGATGCTGCGCGGCGCGATCCAGCCCGAGCGGCACTCAGCACGCAGCCGGTGCTAGGCGACCGCGGGCCCTGGGCCGGCCCGGGATGCGGGCGCGGGCGCCCAGAGAGCATCTTCCTCCGCAGACCCACAGCCCCGGGAGACGCCGCTTACCTGCGCGGACGGCTGCGGGGACCCGGGCGACGCCACTGCCCGGGGGAAGCGGCCGCCCCCTGCCGCGCCCGCAGCAGCCGCCTGGCCCGAGCCGCGAGCCCCGCCGAGCCGGTGCCGCCCGCGCTGCGCTCCGCGGCCCCGAGGACCACAACTCCCACAATGCCGCGCGCGCCTGTAGGCGGGGAGGGGGCGGCGGGGCGGGGCGGGACCCCCGGCGCGTGCACCTGCCGCGCGTGTCCGCGGGTGGTGGTGGTGTGTGGGGGGGTTGTCTCCTCGCGCCCCGCCCCGCCCCGCCGCGCGCCAGGTGCGAACCACAGCCTCGGGGGGGGGGGGTCTTGGAGTTCCGATAGCCCTGGGTACCAGCTGGGTCCTTCCTCCTCCCGCATCCCCTCCGCTCGGTCCTCCCCCTCCCCGCATCTCTTCCCCCGCGGTGTCCTTCCCCTTGCCCCTCTTGCCTGTGATGGAGCCCACACACACTTCTGAAGCCCCGCGGACACGTGGGATGAAATTGCAAATGGAACAGCCTGGAAGATCCGCGGCTCCGTGCTCCGCCTGGGCGCTGCCGACTGGAGCTGTTGCAGACCTGGCGCCTGCCCACAGGGAGGCCCAGTCTAGCCAGCAGTGGCCGGTTCTGCCCGGCTCACAGGAGGAGGGAGAGAGGGGCTGCTGAGCCGGGCCTGGGGACGCCGCGAGCGCTGCGAGCGAGCGAGCGAGCGCCCGGGGAAGCGTGGGCTCCGAGGAACAGTGCATGGGCGTTCTGGGAGCGTGGGGTGGGATGCCAGCCCACAGCCCATCTGTGCCTGTCCTCGAACCTACTGCTTCCAATCCCAGCATGCATCTCTGCCATGGCCTAGAATCCTCCATCTCGTCCAGGAGCCACTTCCTGAGCCTGTCCCAGAACCCACAGGCCTTCACCCAAGCTCGCACCACTTCTACTGTAGGTGGCCGAGAACCCACCTGCCTCACCCAGAACCCGTTCCCTGGCTCAGAACTCGCGCCTCCACATCCCGGAGTCCAGTCCTCACCCCTGCCCTTGAATCCCTCATCACAACTCCAGAAGTAGACGAACAGTTTACCCCCCCCCAAACTTTTTATTTGAATACAATAACCCAAACGGTGTCCATTGATTTACCAGGATCTTCCACATGGCTGCAACCGAAACATCTGACGGAAATCGCTTGACATCTGGGCTCATGGGTCAAAGGTTTTCAGTCCATCGTGGCAGAAAAGGCAGGGAGGGTTGGTGGGCAGGGAGGCGTGAGATCGAGGTTGAGAAAACTGGGGCAAAAAACAAAACAAAACAAAAACAAACCACCAGTCTGTCTGTCTGTCTGTCAAAGTCCATTTCCTTCCACTGTCTGTTTCCTGCAGCCGGACCCACCTCCTGCCGCCTCCATGGTGCATAGTTGTAGGAACAAACCTGTCAAACCACGAACATGACTTAGATCGGAACATTCACAATTGAGACCCTGCTGTAAAACGCACCCAGGGTGGGCGCAGAACACAGGCGTTGGGCTATGGAGAGCTGCACACCAAGCGGCTCTTGCTCCAGCTGAGTAACTGGGCTGAGTAGCCAGAGAAAGAACGGTTTTGTGTCCTGCTTCACGTTTAGAAAAGTTGCCCAAATTTAGCCTTGTCCAAGTCACTTATGCATAAAGAACGCTGTTTTTCATACGGTGCCCCGTATGCATTCCATTCCCGGACTACACCATCTGCAGTCAGTTGCATTACGAATTAATATTGTCTATGAATCTTGTGATTATCTGTGACCAGTGTGATTACAGGGCTCCGTGTTTGCTAAAGAGTGTTTACTTGGTCGGTGGACAGATTCCAGACACGGCTCTGCTAACCTTTCTGGCCATTTAATTCCCCCCCCCCCCTTTTTTTTTAATTTACTGAGAGTCTCAGAAAATGAAGATGACCCCAAATCCAGTTGAGCTCCAGTGCTCCAGTGGCCTTAGTAGGTGAGTTCTGCCACAAAAGGGTGCGCAGGACTGGCCGAGGGGCCCCTGGGGGTGAGAATTGTGGACACACAGCCACTGTGCTGGTGGAGAGCAGGACTAAATGCATCTAAATTGCTTGCCTTCAGCGAGGCTGTCAGACCTCTCCTCCCTCCTGCCTTGTTGAGGGCAGTCATAGCAGCCCACTCTAGACTGCGCAGCCCATCATTACACCACCAGGAGCTTGTGGGCCACGCAACTCCCTGCTTCTGCAGATGGGGTGTGAGTGTGTGTTTCGGGAGGGGGGAGGTGCGGGCTCTCATGGGGACACAGCTCCATCAAGGTCACAGTAAAACAACAGAGAATGTGTTAGGGACTGG